GTAGGATTACCTTGTGAAAGCTTCATTAATGATGGATTGTGCGTAGTCAATGTCGATTAGTTCTCTCTCTCTCTCCCTTTCTACCCTCTACTATGGGACTTTAACAGTCGTTTGATTGAACTGCCAATTATTTTGAGTAAAAAAGTGCCTCGTTCATCAAACGCACATAGTGGAAAAATTTATCCCGCGCTTTATTTTTCCACGCCTACACGGCAACGACAGTACTCGAAATAGCAAAGAGCGAGAGAGGGAGAGAATAGGGCATCGATCACAAAGCGTAAGCCATCGCGTACACCGAAAAAAAATCATCGTAGTACTCTAGAATCAGGCTGTTGGGTTTTATCGATTGATGAGAACAAACAAAAGCTCGCCCGCGCTACTCATACACCTTGCGCGCGCGAGAGAGCGAGAACAGCTTGCACGCATTATCCGAATGGAATACAAAGAAAAGTGCGCACGCCATCAGCTGCCAGCTTCTATCGCTGCAAAATATGTGTGTGTGTGTGTGTGCATATGCCAATGTGTGAGTATAGTGCGTTCCAACTCTCAGGTTTCACGCAAAGGCCGTGAAATCGATAGCCGTTAATGCTACGTGAAGAGAGAGAGAGAGAGAGAGAGAGAGAGAGAGAGAGAGAGAGAGAGAGAGATACTGTGACTGTTCTTTATATATGTGTAGTCGGATACTTTCATTACGCTCCGGATAAAAGCACTGTATTTCCTTTTTGCACATGCACACACCTATGCCTGTTCACTACGGTTCATTGCCTTTCGCTTTGGCGTCAAGCTTCTACTAAACTGACAACTGGTGAAGATCGTAGCTTTTCGAGATACTTCAAAATAACTTTTTTTCCGTCGGGTTCATTGACGTTCAAACCAACCTTATGAATTATTCATTGCTCGCAAAATTATTTCTATCAAGCTAAAATGTTGCACATTTTCAAAGTAGTAGTTTCACACAAAACGGGCACTTTAAAGTAGATTTTCGAATGGGACTTGGATAAACGAAGATTTAAACGGAACGTAGTAAGTATATTCGTTTTGAATTGAAATGGACAAATTGAAACATTGAAATATAATAATTCAACCATTATTTCGATCAAATTAGATTTTGGATGTTAGGTCATATTAATCATTCTTTGATGAAAACAAAAACGGCATGTATTTTGTAAAATATGCAGAGGTACCGAAAAGAGAAAGTACATCAAATGAGCACGGAATTATTTCTTCCCTTGCAAATAATTTTAGTAATTTTGTGTGAGGTAAAAATTTAATGTGCGTGTTACCAATATGCACAGAAATAAACTGTATTTATCTCTGTCGAAACTTAATGGTCGCAATTATTCAAAGATAAGAATTTATTTACTCGGACTTTCTTTGGAACGGCCCAATTAACGAAATAAACGCACTCACAATCAGAATAATAATGGGCTTTTTTTTTCGATAAGAGAAATCTCGCACTGGCTAAAACTACAAGCTGCACGCGTTTTCAAAGAAAGTATCGAGTTGTTGTACAGGACAGACGTGCTTGGATGGAAAATGGTTACTTTTGTTGCGGCAATGAAACGTCGAAGTCTAGTATATAGTCGAGGATGTCTGGCATACTAGACACATGCTCGAGTCGTAAAATATATCGCTGCAGGTATAGGTAGGACGCGCGAGAGGTGGTAACAGTAAGGCTCGATAGCGATGCGTAAGGAAAGGGGGATAAAATACGATGGCTGATAGTAGAACAGCCTGCGCCAGGCGCTACATACCTATAGTCGTGCACTACGTAACTCGCAGCTGAGTGATGCTTGTAGACTCGCTCTCACTCCCTACGGCAACCAATTCGGCAGAGGGGCTTTTATCGAATTAAGGCCGCTTCTCCGAAGCGTTTGCCATCAACTTTGCCGAACTCAGCAACTGTCAAGTCCTACATTTATATGGCTATTTTGTCGCGCGTTAAACACCTTCTCTAGTGGATACTCTTACCGTCTTTCAATTCCTAATTTCCAAATTTACACAAGGGAGTCGACATAAAATAGCTCCGCTTTATAATTTTTTGCTTCTTGTTTTTATCTGACATCTTTTTAGATATGAAAAGTGATTTTTAAAATATCTTATCGTGTTAATCAACGAGCATGTACTAATACAATCTTCAATGTAAGATGCAATTCAAGATGTTACTGTAAACAAGGATGTTAATTCGAATGAATGCCGAAGGATTTCTAATCGTAGTTAAATTAATATAAAAGGTTAAATCAATAGCGTTATTTTGTGCAATATATTGCGAGATTCATTAAACAGTGAAGACTGTATTTCAATTGATGAAAGTGCTTAATTAATAGAGCTTTGCGCGTTCCACAATTTTAATCTGCTATTAAATCTGCAGCCGGGAGGCGGGCGACGGTAAGGTAAAAGAGACTGTTAAAATATTAGCTCAAAATTTAGCAGAGTGATTCATTGTCCTGACCTAGAAAATATATTCAGGCTCTCTATTTCTCTCTTTCTGCATAAACTATGTATAACTTTGGAGAGAGGCTTGACAAAATCATGAGTATTTCACGTAAGGGCGTAGGCATAGCAGGCAGCTCACTGTGCGGTTTATAAGTTTACTCCAAGCTACTCAATATTTCCACAAATTTGCACATTTGTATTTGCATTCGAATGAAGTCGGCGAGCGAACACATACCAGTAAACCAGAAAGAGAGAGAGAGCACGAGCTTCCTGAATGACCGAGCATAAAGCATTAAACTTGCCACTTGCCTTTTAAACTATACACGTCATGCTGTGCAGGTAACGTTTAACTATCTCAACTACATCTATATTTCACAGATTTTTTTAACCTTTGCATACAAGGTTATTTTAAATAAAGCAGCCTTTGCAATTTTTTAAAGTCGCTCATAAAGTTATGCTTCAATCAAGTTAGTAATGAAGTAGGACTGTCTCGGAAAAATGTTCACTTTTAAATGAGCCATCTTTCGTGGAAATCGGTTAAGGTATTACATAGATATATGTGTAAACATGCGTAAAAAAATTCAGATCAGCTACGAAACCTCCTCTTTTTTCAAATATATTATCATGGAAACTTTATACGGTTTTTGATAAAATGATGCGATCATTATTTTATTTTATTGTAAAAGTGATAGAGTTTGCAGTTACATTTCCACTAATCTGCAGCATTGATATCGGAGAAAAATATGTCGATTGTTATGCCAGAAATTTAATAGTTTTATATATTTAAACACTTTTATGCCACATTTAAAAACATATTTTCATAATATTGTACATCACATTAACAAGAAACATTTTCATTGTAATATTTACATTCAAACACATTCGCAACGGTTTATCATCTAGCAAATTTGAAGTATCATTTTTCACTCGTTTAATATAATAATAAAATTACTGGTAACATGAATTCAAGTCTGCATCGCGTGACTTAATATTAACCAATTAGCGTCTATTTGTTAGAGTTATGTGTAAAATGTTTAGAATTTATATTAAAAATACCTAACATATATTGCAAATAGAAATGAGCGGATGGTTAGTTTATATTTAGAAAATATTTCGCTGTATAATTAAAACATCTGGTGAGCGAATATCAATATTGAGCGCGCCGCCGAGAAAATATTTGCATTTCTCTAAGCTCGCTGCGTCTGATTGGTATTTGATAGAGCTGAAACAGCTGTTTCCAAGACGCGTATACCATGCACAATTATTTATTAAATTTACTGAAAGATACGTTACCACGCACATTTCGTTGAATTGAATTTCGGCGTTGAAAATAAGAATTCGGATGATCTTGCCGCTGCGAACGATCCAACCAGAGCGTTGCTCGGAAGGAAAACGCCAACAATACGAAAAAATATGTAGCGAGCAGATTAGACGGTGCAGCAAGGGGGAAAGAATGAAAGAAGGGGGCCATTCTGGCGAGATGGGGCACGCGCTACAGAGGCATTGTGTCGCGCGCAGCCGTTGAGCGAGAAAGGCAGCGCGATATAGGCACGCTCGAATCCAGGTGCGTGCCTACGAGGACACGTCTTTCCCCCCTCGCATCGCTCCTCCGAAACTGTATACGCGCGCCGGCTGCACGCCACTCTTTACCCCATATTCTAATCGACGCCTACCAAGATGTTCAAGATAGCCGTAGGCGCGCTCTGGCCAGGAAAAAGCCACTTCGCCGAGTCCCGGACTTGTTACACTTGCTATTTCATCGCGCGAATTCGGACCGGCTGTATTTTATGGATGTTTTTGCTTGCGCTATATCGATAATTTCGTCCTCACGCGACTTCGAATATATTTAACTTTTAAAAATTTCGAGGACTAGTATTTTATCCGGGTATTTTCATTGTTTGTAGAGTTTGGTACAGTGTAAAAAATGCACCATACTGTCGTAACGTCGTTAATACTGAAAATATCAAAGGACATGTAGATAACGTAGCTCGAAAGTAAACATTGCGAGTGGTAGAAAATATCGTGCACAGGCTAAGCAAACAAGTATTATTTCGCAACACCGAAGCAGTTTGCTTATTTAACCAACGACGGCAATGTTCCGTCGGCGCGAAAAAGTTCCAAAAAACTCAAAAAATAAAAGAAAAAAAGAAAAATTGGACGCCAAGCGAGGAAGAGAATGTGCAGTTATTTGGGTCAAAATGAATAAAACTGCTGGTTCTCGCGGCGACAACGCGCAAACATTATTTTTCGTTGTCGGCGTAAAAAATTCGAGGGGCGGAAAGTAAGTGCACATACATATAGCCGCGTAGGCGTATGCGTATACACGTGCAAAAAAAAGTATTCCAGAGTGTGTATGTCAATGACTTTAGGCTCTCTCTTTTCCGCAGAGCTGGAGCGAGCGGAAGAGAGATAGCTGTCGCCTAGCGGCTGAATCACGAAACACGAGCGCAGACGAACAGCGCTGCAGACGAGAGAGCCAGCGAGCCGGTCGTCTCTGTCTTGCGCACTGCGAAGGCATACGTGCTGCGTCCGTCTCTGTTTAGTTCTACGCTCTGCTGCCAGCAGCAGCGCCGCGCCGCAGTGCATGAGAGCGAGAGAGAGCACAGCACAGCGTACTACAGTACAAAGTGTGTAAGTGAATATACGCCAGCATTAGCGTGTCGATCGCGACCCGACTCCTCCGTATCGGACGCTTATGTGTATTTTCGGAGTTTGGAACTGGCGATATACATAGTCGCGCGCAAATTGTCTGTGAAACGAGTAAATGGGCTCGCTCACCGCGCGAAACTCGTAGTACACTCGCGAGAGAGCCGTACAGTGCGTCTATGTGAGTGCGTGTGCGCGCATGTGTGTGGTGCAGGGCCCTCGTACAGTTTTGTTTTCGTCTCTCGCGAGCAAAAGGCTCTTGCTCTTGCTGCTTGCTACGCTGGCTGTCGCTGTAGCAGGCAAGGATAGTTAGAGAGAAAGAGAGAGAGAGAGAGAGAGAGAGAGTAAAGGAGAGAAAGAGAGAGACCGACAATGGTGGTCCGCTTGCCGGGGCTACTTTTGTTCGCCGAGGACATTTGGAAGAAGGCTCTCGCCAGACTCGGCCCGCCCGCCAACAAGCCAACGGCCAAGTCCAAGTGAGTACACACTTTGCTGCTAGACGCGAGTATCAGTCCGCCACAATTGTCATACTCCTTTGTTTATACCTACACGAGTAACAAAAGTTAAGTGAGTGCACAATGTCATTTAGCTTTGTTCGCCGGAGCGCAATCGGACCGAGCGCGCTTTGCAAGCTGATTAATTTTTGATCCAGCTAGTACTATAGTAAAAGAGAGAGAATAGGCATAAGCAATTTTCTCTGTGTTCGGGCTCGTGCATTCTGTGTATATGAGGTAACGCGTGCATGCATCGATTTCGGACCTACACAACACTATCTATAGTTTTATATCGTCAATATTTGCTTCCTGCGGCAATTTGTCCCTGGGGACTTGATTTCCCGAAGAAAAAAATTATTCACCAAGTCTTGTTATCCAATTAAGATACGCGTTTTCCATTGACTCTCAGGGGGATTACTGTTTATTTAAAAATGTTTATAGTTGTATACTTTACGTCTATACGTTAGTAAAAGAGCTTTAATGGGGTACGAAAATACTGAATTTAAAAAAAGTATTTGGGACGGAAGTTTGATCGACTGATCGAGGCTGTCCATAGTAGTCGCAAAGTCTCGCGAAAGAGCGATAAATTTTGGATTAATGCAAGAGAATAAGCATGCGTTATCGGCATGCACGCGTGTCGATCGGTTGGCCACGTGCGGAGAGAAGTATTCAACACCTTAGGGAGGGTCAAGTTACCGCAGCAACGTAGGGACGTCCGGCTGCAAATATTGTCAAATACACGTGTTCGTGCGCACGTAGGTATATGTGGAGAGAGAAACGACTATGTACATAGCGAATGAAGGTTTTGCGCGCACGCCGATCGATTCTTTCGACTTCGCTTTACGGCAGTTGAAAGTATATGTGTATGTAGTGGGTGCGGATGAGGTTGTTGCCGTCACACTCGCACCTGCATACAGCATAACGTCTGTTGAGACATGCTGGTCGCGCGCGAAGTGAATGTGAGCCGAGTTCACGGAATCGCTATATGCAAAATATAATATTCTCTCTGCCTTTGTTTGCGCTTTTTTCTTTATTATAACTCTCACTCGTTTTCTTGTCGAGCTCTCAATTTTGCCATAGAAGGTTGTTATCGTTCATTTTTTATTTGATTGCCTGTTTCATTTTTAGGCTTTTCTCTTGTTTCTAAATGAACATTTTATCAATATTTCAATATATATTGTATATTTCCCTTTTGATTAATATGTCTACTGGGCAAACACAAAAAAACACATTTAGTTTCCATCAGATTATTCTCTAGAGCTCGAGGTTACGTAGAGCGGTATTGTGCAGGTGCATCCGAAAAATATAAAAAATGCCTCCACGTGAGTCAGCTGCAGTCTCGTTTTCAGGGATCCGACAAATTTTTTTTTACGTTAGTACGGAATACGTTTTCAAACATACCATCGATATCTCATCAATCTTTTGTTACAAAATATTCACAGAGTTCAAAGATAAAGTTGGTAAAAGCTATCTAAGCATTTGACACGCATAGATTCTGTAACCTGATATTTTTCAATTTTTTCTTTCATCAAACGAAAAAAGATTTTTTTCCATCTAGCCTAATAAAAGTATTTCGTGGCGGTTAAAAAAAATTGTTATGCACAAGTTAGAATTTTATCTCCGGCATCTGAAAAAGATCCGAGCGCGAAAGATTTTCGTGAAAATCCATGGTGAGTTATAAACAGCTCTACGTGTTCAGATGCCAAAAGCCTGAAATAAAAAATCGTTAGTTTCCATTTTTCTCTCGTGAAATTGGAAAACGTTTGTTCGGGCACGTGTCAAAGCATATAATTCGGCACGAAATTGTGGACCATTAAGTTTCAAGGGTATGCACAGCAATGAAAACTGTTGGGCACACAAAATCGGCCGGCAACCTGCGTAGACACGTTCCGCATGAAAATTTCTTAGAAAACTGGTCCGACCCTCTTCCATCCTTTTTGGATACATTCATATGACTCACTCGCTAAATTTCTATAGACATACAAGATCAAGGAGATTTGGTTTTTTTTATCCTCTTTTATTTGAAAAATCTAGTTTCTTTGTCTATTTAAGATAAGATTTGAAAAAAATCGTCGTACAACGAAAAATGAGGGCAGCTCTATTTTATTGATAGTGTTACATGGTTATTCTTCGGAAATGGAGTATTGTAAAAATCGGCGGCTAAAGTTATGGTCATTTTCTAAAATAATTTTTATGGAATACAGTCTTAAATATTCTGTAATATAACAAAGTTAATTATTTTTCGTTTTGCAAGCATGACATTTTTGAGTATTTACCCGTGGAATCCTATTTTCAACACTATCCAATTTGTTTTTCAAATTCAATGAAAAATAAAACATATTTCTTAACACTTTTAAACTTTTCAATAAAGAATTTCGATGCTTCTTTCATATTCTCACAATAAAGTACAATGGTTAAACCCTGAAATTCAAATGCCAAATTCACTTTTAGTTCGACCTCAACACGGCAATGATTATGAAATATCGCTTACAATGGAAACAAAATTGTAATGGCTTGTCCGAAATAAATTATCGTGCGAAATTCGTTGGAAAGGCGACCATTCGCAATGACGAAAAGGCTGAAAGGAAGGTGGCATTTTACTGACCACCAACCGAGGGCGATTTGCTCGAAAAAAAAAGAGACCTCGACGGTGGCGGTTGCCTAGGTACGCGGAACAAAAAAGAAGAGGTATTTCGAAGATAAAGAGAGTCGAGAATGACTCATTCGGAGGAAGGTGCGTTTCTTTTATTTTACCTTTTTTATTCTGTTCATCTTCTGCCTGTTGCGCGCTTGCCAAGCGTGTGCTGCAAATCGCATGATTTCACTCATTCTTTTGTTCTCGTCTTTCCATGAGAAATCACGAATAACAATTTGGAAGATTAGTCGGTCATTCAAATTTTGTTGCGCATAGTTTTTCGAATTTTGCGATAAGAAGATTATAAAATACTGTTGCATTGTTTGGGCGGCAACCGTGGATGGAGTTCACCCGAGAGAAAGAGTTTTCAGATAATAGTAAGGTTTCAAAAAATTATAATGCGGAGTTATAAGAGTTTCATGCTGCGATGAAAATCCTCTACTTTTTTTTAACTTTTAATCTATCTAAAATTTATATTAAATGAAAGCCTAGCTTAAATTTATGAAATATTAAAATATATCATTAAATTTCGTACTTGTGATATCATGTCATATAAAATATACGTTGAATAGTATTGTTGACGAAACCATTTTTTTATTTTAATACAAGAACAAAGAGTTTCAATTTAAGAAAATGTATTTAGCAGTGATTTTTCTTATACATTGTGAGGTGAAGCCATTTATGTCTGATTTTTTGTATGACAATGAATTTCAAGTGGGACGAAGTAATTTTTGCAACAAAAAACTCAATTAGAACAATCAGAATATCACGGTCTTTGTAGCGTTCAATTAATCGAAGGGTAAAATAGAAAAATAGAAACAGTTGAAATATTTGAATCGCACGTATAATCTTGACAACATATGTAATGTTGTCAATGGAATCTTCGAGGATTTTAATTAAATCATTGAAATTCAAAGTATCATTCATAATTGCTCCTACAATGATCAACTGGTATTGTGCAGTTCCTATAATATTACTTTTTGAAACGAACTCGAGATTTCAATTAAAAATTAATTAAAAAGTTAAAGTAACTGAATCAGCTTTGAAGGAGGTTGATATATTTGAAAGCTACCCAAGTCAACTTACTCTATTAACATGTTCAATATAGTTATAAAAAATCTGTGTTATGTACTTTAAATATCGACTTAAAAATTCTTGAAATATTTTATACCTAAGATAACTAAATTCACGTATATAATAACTGTTCACTCATAATTCATCGTAATTCTCGACACTGTAACAAAAAATTTGATTGAAACGCTGTTCCAGTTTTTATTATTCTTTTTTAACAATATTTGAAAATAATAGTTTTAATGGAACAAGTAATCAACACTTAACGGCTCGACAGCTGTAACATTGAAAAAGGATTAAATATTGTTTGGCAAAGATTCGTGACATTGATCGATGTTCAGGTTGTATCGATAAATGGAATGTATTAGTCCGCCAATATAATATAAATTCAGAACTAACGCACACTCTTCTCAATTCAGTTACGTAATATATACGTTAGTTTCAATAAAATAGGTAGTTTGGTGAATAACTTTGCACACTTGTTAAATATAGATTAACGTCAACTATTCTTCGTCTATATGCTATTTCTTTCATTATATGTAGAATAGTTTAGGAAAACAGAAAATTAATAATTCCGCTGTTATTGCTATTCAATTGATCATTTCTCTTACAGTGTAACTTATTAAAAATGTATGTCATAAAAAAACTTATGTAAATACAATATAATGTTGTAATTCTGTTTGTTCAACAGAGAAAGTGAAAATAATTGTGCTATACGGCAGTTTTTATCATGTTTTTTGTTCTAATCTTTGGCAACATTTTACGAATGACATTTTTACATTGGATCAGCTATTTAATGATGTCAAAACATTTTGTCACTCTTCGAGATGATATGAAATATATCATCAAGTGCAATTTTCACGGCTAGCTCTTGAAATTATTCAATATTCATTTTAAAAAAGTCACGAAACTACCGTAAAAACAAAACACCCACAACCCATTCGCAAGCTTTGACATAAAGGAAGAGTGATAACAGCGATAAACACTCTGAGTGGATACCTCTGTAGGTGGTGAAGTTTTTGAGCACATCACGGAGTCGCGTAAAATAAGAAAAGTTTACTTGTTTTTTGTAAAAAGTTTTAAATCAAATCCGCGAGGCGGAAAGAAAGTTGGCCGTTCAATAAGGCAGCAGATCCCTGCAAAAGGTAGACTCGGCGGAGGCACAAAGGGAGATAGACAAAAGGAGAAAATGAAAGAAGAAAGGAGCCGGAGAGGACCGCTGGTGTCTCCGTGAGTGTGGATGAGCCACAAAAGCCATCTGGCGCGTTGCTGGCGCGGCAGTAGTGGCCGACGGCAGGTTGCAGGTGACCGCGGGAATTGGGCACCGGGTACCAAAGTTATTTCGCTGGCTCTCTGCGGCTCCTTCCTTTCTTTATTTTTTTTTTGCCATCTCTTGTCGCACGCTCGCTTTTTTCTTTCGCAAGTTTTTCCTTACTGGATGAGAAGCCGCGACGGAGCGCGGTATCGCCTTTCGTAAACAGAAGCCGTCGTGCATTCTTCTGCGGCCTATCAAATCTTATATGCCTATTGATTTTGCTCAAGAATTTATCTTTCAATCGATGTACAGTTGATATTATAATGCATGCTTCAGGAATTTACGGCTTTCTTCGAAATGTATTTCGCGCATGCCAATCCAACTGTCCTTTCGAGACTTGGAATCGGAAAATTGTGACCACCACAAAAATGACCTTTAGTCTGACGGCGATTGCCGAATTATTGAATCAAGCCACTAATCGTGTCCCGATCTCATTAATTTACCACTCTTTGTTGGGCGTAATTAAGATGCGTGGGTCGACAACTCGAGCATTGATTGATGGCTAATTTATTGATTTCGTGCGGTCGATACGTCCACGTACGTTCACTCAGCTGAGTAAGCAATCAGACTATTGCCAGTCGGCTTGTCCTCGCGCTTCTCTCTCCATTGTTTTATTTGTGCATTCGCGGCTGCTTCTCGTTTGTAGCGCCGCGGCCTCTGCCCAGCCTCGCTATTGTCTATTGCTCTCGCTACACGCGCAGTCGCCTTTCTGTGCTCTTATCGTTGCTTAACCATTGGCTTACTTGAGAATGCCCGCAGAAAAACTCTTCTTAACGCGACTGAAATAACATTGGCTATTCTGATTGCCCTAACGTTTATTGAAAAAACAGAGCATTACGACTTTGAAAACAAATGTATTCGCGATGAGCGCAAACGTAATTCAGAGCCAGAGCCAAAATGAAGTCTGATTCATCGCAAGAAGTTGCGTGGTGTTGTTGCAAGCAAGTGTTATCGCGAGGCAAGTGCCCCACTAATTTTCTTCCGGGAAGACTAATTTTCCGTTTGAACACATCCGCTGTGACGCTGTTGGAATTCCTGCTATGATTCATAATGCGTTTTAGAACGAGAGTGCTCGTTGTACAATAATTTTGCACCGGCATTCGTTTCATCGTTGAAAGCTCCATCTCGTCGAATCGGGCGTCGGAGAGTTTAGCCGTTTTAATTGGTCGAACGATCATTCAATGCATATCGGCAGCGAGCAGAAAACTTAATAATGAGAAAGTATTGGGAAAGCAGCTGGTACTGGCGGCAACCAACGAGAAATTAAGAGTTTTAATTGGCGAACCAGAAATCTTCAAGTTAAGAAAAATTCTTGACTTGGGGAGAGTGCGAAAGAGAGAGATAAACGAGAGCGTTTCCGATAGTTGATTAATGAGCGTGCGTATGATCTGTCGGCCCGCTCTCCAATCCTCGGCTCGTTTAATTCATCGCGGCACCACGCCAGCTTTGTCTCCTCTTTTTCATTGTAATCAGAAGTGGCCAGGAGGAGTTTGCTGCATCTCGTTTCGTAATCGAGAAGCTCACCCCGATACTTTTCACCATAACTCATACCTCATTCCAATTGAATTTTAAAAATTTATCATTAGCTCGCTGTCTGCATCGTCCACTCTTCGCTCGCGCAACCGCACTTTATTAAAAATATAATGAGTCGCCGACATCCAGGACTGCGATGGCTGATGCGTGAAAAGGGTGCGAATATTTGAACTTCGTTATACCTTTTACATATTCGCGTCATACATGTTGCAGTATAAGATTTATATTTCAATAGTCAATTTAATTTATGAAAAATTTATATTAATAATAATCTTCAAGACTAATTAATAATAAAAATATGTAGCGCGTAAGTCGAATGAATCAATAATCAGATTCTTATCTGTAAACCTGAAATGAGTATTCGTATTTTGCAATTTTTGTTGGAAGAGAGTGAAAGAGTGAAAGTAACAAATACAGATTTCAAATTTATTACTAATGATTTCGTAATATCGGGCCTGGTTGATTGATGATTTTTACCTGCCTTTATGTCTACCGAGTCTTTTGGACAATTTTCCGATCTATCTTGATAAATTATTGAAAATCGATTGATTATTATCAAATGATAAATGTCGAATAAATTTTTGATTTACCAATATGATTAAGGACGGTTGTAATGTTTTTTTAAAAAACATCATTGTTTATACGTCTACAGTATTACCGCTTGTAAATTTTATTGCAAATGGTTTGATAAATGCTACAAATGACATGAAACCAAAAAAAAGAGCTTGTTATGAAAGTCCTCTTTGCTAGATTTTAAGCTGCGCCGAGGTAATGAATTTTTCTAGATTCTGAATTAACTAAACCAAAAAGCTCTGTCATTTTCTGCATTCTTGACCCACATTCCAAGCTTTTAGTTTTTTATGGTAATTCATTCAAATTTCATCTCTCATAGGACAGAGGTGTAATTACGACTTAAAGAAATTTCACTGCTAACGCTTTTATGTCTACACATAGTGAATTCAGCCTTTCTGTAAAATTTGATTGGTTGTATCAGCTAGAGACCTTTCCGACAATAAGGCATGAAAATAATCAATAATTTATTTACGAGTCAATGTCTACTTGGCGATTGAACGATCAACTCGGCTGCAAATTATTACATTGGCAAAGGTCAAACGAGGGATGCTTTGATATCACTGACATTACATATTTCGCTGGATTATACAATGACAAATGATGGGCGTCTCGTCTGTGCTCGCAGTATGCCAGCAACGTTGGAAAGCCAAGCGGCAAATCAATCGCCAGCCGCCGCAATGCCGAGTGTCAAAGTGGTGACAACGGCGGGGCCGGCAGCAGCGCCACCAACGAGTACGAGCACCACGACACCATCGACCACGACCACGACCACGACCACGGCTGCGGCCTCGCCTATGGCCACGAAGAAGCGCTGCTGGCGGCGTAAGACGTTTCACGTCACCGTCTTCCTTGCTGTGTTCTCGACGATCCTCAGCCTTCTATGGATCTACACGGTGACCGCCGAGCTCAGGTCAGTCAGTCAAACTTGCGATCCTATCGACCGTGGCGACGGCACTCCCTCGCCTGTGAGCGCGTCGGACGTCGCCGCTGCGAGAGGCTCTTGCTCTCCTTTCCACTCGGCGGAAAAAAAAAACTTTCTCTCCGTCGAAAGGGAGGCCGTGCTTTCCCCGTCCCGCAGATCGAGCCGTAAAGTTCCCAAACTCACGCTCGTTTGGAGCAAGATTTTTCACGCGCGGATTCAAGCCGAAGCTCGGCCTTCGCTGCCGACATTCGAGAAGCTCGTTCGACGGCAGTCGCCTGCCGCGGCGCGCTCTCCCGAGCGTGAACAAGGAGCTGGGGAGCGAGAGCGAGGCAGCGGCGCGCAGAAGTGTATATTGGGATTCCACTTCCTGCCCCCGCGAGAGTCGAAAAGTCGGCGAGCGCGCACGCACGCTCGCACGCGGAAGCTCGCTCACGGACAAGCCATTTATATACGAGCGCGCGAGTCCCGCAAAGCCCTCTATACTTCATGCATTCTTAACGTTCTCGTATATATGAATTCGCGACTGGCGCGCTGCTTTCGATTTCCCATCGAGCCGTCGCTCCCCCCCCCCCCTCCCCCTCCCACTCTCTCTCCCTTTACGACGCCGAAAATTGTTTTGCTGATTTTTTTTTTCTACTTCTTCTCGCCCGCCAGTCTCTTTACGAGCCAGCTTTATTGGCGACCTAGCTCGGCCCTTCTTGAGATCCTCGTAAAAGTGCGATTGCCACTCGTGAGCCGTGGAACTCGTTTTACTGGCCCCGACCTCCCTCGGCCGACTCATCCGTAATACAGTGACTTTCTGATTATAGGCGCGCGCGAACGCGCTCTTCCAGGGGACACGCGAACGAGCGGCAAAGCCCGGCGACTCCTCGACGCGATCGAACGAAATAATCAATGATTTTGCATTTGCGCGTGCCTGCCAACGTGCACGTGAGCGTCGTGCGACATATCCGCACCCGCGTCTCGGGCCACGGAGCGCGTCGCGGCACGCCGCTGTGACACGTACACCCGAATATATTTATGCCGGATTTGCATTTCGCGCGCGCTTGTTCCGTTTCAGCGGAGGCGGTACGTGCGCGACGAGCAATTGTGCATTGTGTAGCGCCGCCGCCCGCACGGTCAACTCAGGCTATTCATGGAGAACGGTACACGCCGCTACCTTAGGGCACTCAGCGCACGGGCAAGTTTATTCAAGGCGAAAAACTAAGTTGCACCGCGTTTCGGCTTTCCTTTTGTTGTACGCACAGCGCGACAAAACTTGGCGCCTCAACTTGTGCCGCCGGTCCAATTTGAAAAGTGTCAACGTGACTCGAGGCCAACTTTGCCGACCGATGAGGTAATAACGATCAAATTAAAAAAAACTCGCCGCCAAGTTTTCCCTTAAATATTAGCATAACGGAGCTCCGCGAAACTTTATCCCGCGACGCCGACGACAAAAGCTCGTGAATGGAGAAGCGCCCGCTTTGTTAAATAATTAACGACGACGAGGATCGAAAGCAGAAAGTTGGAGGAGACGTCCCGCGGCTGTCTATTGGGAGAAGTCGCGAGCGATAGTTGCGGCGGGGGGAGACGTGACAAATGGCGCGGAAGAAGCACGCGAAAAATTGATCTCTCCCTTTTCTCTTACTTTTCGCCAGGAGGAAGGCCTTCGACGTGAACATGAGACGGGATCACGTACTCGATGTGTCCATGGACAATCCCGACCTCGTCTCCTACATAAGGAATATCCAACTGAAAGCGCCCATCGCTCAGGAGCAACTCAACGCCAGTCAGACTGTCGAGGAAGAGTTTATCGTCAAGCAGTTCCAGTCCAAACGTAGCGGACTTTACTTCGAATACATGAGCAGGGTGAGCTTTATTTTTTACGTGCTCGGCGCATTGTGTGAAACAACATCGATCGCGCTGTGCCTCACAAACGCCGACGTGCCGCTTTCGTTTCTCACTCACTCGGCATTGTAGCGTTGCCCGGGAATGCTTTTATCTGTTTTTTATCGACTCGCTTTTGAGTATGCTAATTTCATTTTATTGCCAGCTATCAGATACCAACCTGGCTTTTCGTCTATAAACAATACATGTATATAGCGTACTTCCACAGCTGACCTCAATCCAATCGTCCTCTCAAGTATTCTACGCTAATTATTCAGAACTAAGCGATTCAGCTAATGATTGACTTATTAAATTTTCGTGAGACATCGAAAGCACTTTCATTTTTTTAATATTTCGGCTTCAGACATTTATTATTAAATAGTTCATATGTACAAAGTCAAAGCTCTTGCATTATCACGGCTCCGGTTGGCAGCTATGCCACGATATTCAAATCATTAGTAACATCTCTCAAGCGCTTACCGTTGAGCGCCTTTTTCGTTGAAACTATGAATCCTCATACTAATATCCAATACGAAAAATGAACTGTAATTATCATAAATCTTTTAGCGCGAGTAATTAATAGCTGCTATCCATTAATATTTCATCCCTTTTACTAATTTCATGCTATACACGAATCCTAAGCGCGCTTGTCTAATGAAAATGACTACCTTGAATATTTTCATTTTGCACAAATATCTAGAGTTAGCTTACTTTTTCACATTTTAATTTTTCATATTCCTGGCTAAATACAGCATTGTTTTATGGAAAAATACAAAGGTTGCACGGATATTGCTGTAAAAAGCTGAATGCTAATACAAATGCAAAACGGACAGTATCCTAGAATATTGCGGTCTATTTTTCTGAAAGCCAATAAAATTGCTCCAGCTGTGTACGCTATGCGAGGTGAATTTTGCTTCAATTTTTTTTCAGGCAAATGAATCTTAAGCTATGCTTTTGTTGAAACGTCGAAATACTGATAGAATCAAGTTAAAATACGAGAGAACTGGTTAACTGGCAAATATGCTCAAAATAAAAAGTGCAACGAAGCAATAACTCGTTAGCGCAGGATCAAGTTTTCAAGGATATTAAACTCCATTCGAAACGAACAAACAGCAAATTGCCTGGCAAATAAAGTGAACAAAAGAGCTCTGAGGTTGAAAGCAATAAAAAGCGAATGTGGGAGAAACCGCTCGATCAAAAAGCGAACAAAAAAAGGGTGGAGGTGGAATTAGTGACGCAGGCGAGCTTGCAATCAAAAGTTGGTCCCGACCAATTATTAAAGTTCGCTGTCTGTGCTTCAATTTCAGGCTGGCGCGACTTCGACGACGGCCTGGTTAGAGTCGCAGCTCGATTGGCGGGGTGTCATGGTGTTCACCGACCCACGTCACTTTTTCGATGCATACAGAAGTGCGAGGAACCCTAAGACTCGGGTGCTGCACGCTTGCCTCAGTACTGACCGAGATACGAGAGAGGTAAAGTTATTGATTTTTATTTTTCTAGTGGATACTCGAACTCAGCTACTCAGTTGCGAGCTGATTAAATTTGTCACGATAAAAAAGTCGTCAGGAGAATTAGTTTCCGTCAGTGTCACTGATAAATTGCATTGGGAACGACGGTGAGAGAGAGAGAGAGAGACGCTCGTTTTATTACTCTAGGATTTTTCTTCCTGCTTCTGATTTGCGTCAAAGGAAACAAGATCTCAGGGATCAGGGATACTGATGTTTTACGTTAATGAATCTTCTTTATTTCGAATTAAGAGCTTAAATTTGATCTTTTACTGCACGTTACGTCGTTTTGCGCTTGCACTTGAAGCTGGAGGAGCTGCTGATTGAAAAGTTCGCCGGCAATCAAATTGTTGAGATATATTTTATACCCTGAATTTCCATTCGCCGGGATAGATCGGACGATACGAGATGTTCGGATACTGGATGGAGTGCTCGATTAATGAGTATGACTGCTATGCTTGTAATCTTAGATAACGTATCATCAGGAGGCAGACGTGCAAGTGATGAAGTTGGGCGAAGGCCCGAACAGCCTGGACCTATCCACTGAGAGCTTGCCAGCCACTAGATTGTACTGCTTCCCGCTCTACTCTATTCTACTCGCTTACAATGCCACGAGCCTCGACTACGTGAACCTCGATAGCTCGGAAGTGCAGGACGGATTGGTAAGTTTCAGCACTATCCATCCTACCTACACAGCACATTTACCTATAAATTCGAAGCCGCCTGGTTTGTCGAATGATCCTACTAGCGATATCGGAGCGCTCTCGCTTCCATTGACCGCCTTATACTCGTTCGTGGAATTCCGTCAACCTGACTCGCATCTGATGTTCATATTTCTCCTGATAATCTGGCTAACTGATGATGCTCGAAGGATAATCCAATTCATACATCATGCAAATTAATTGAAAATACCGATGACCTGGTTACCACCGTCAAATTCGCGTATTTCTATCGGAATAACATAGCCGTCGCGCGTTCGCGCGCATATAAAATGAGCGAGCGCCTTAATGAATGATCGAATTATTCGAGGCGTGAATCCATGCAAATTTTGGAAATCAATCGGTAGCCGTGTGTACCCTTATTATGCGCGTGTGATGGCCCCATGAATAACGAACGCTGCAGGCCAGAAATTCATTATCCTTCGGCGTGTCAGGGCTATGTTATTAATATTTACACGCGAAAGACTATGCGCGCGGCGGCCGGCTTCGTCCAGTTTTAGTGAAAACGTGATCGCAAAACCATATGTGATAGCGACGTGCGCGTAGGGATCAAGTACAATTCATCATCGTAAGCAGGCATTTATAGTCCGCGCCATAAATACATCGCGCCCAGGTCGGATATATGCTCCTAAAATATCCACATCTAAGGGGAAAGTTATATCGTGCGTACGTAGCGTTCTTCATTCTACGCGTGTCTGCTCGCAGATCCTGGACACAATCCCGTGGGACGTGATAAGGGTATCGGTGCTATCGATACATTGGGGTGCCCATCACAGCGACGCCGAGACCAAAAGCATCGTCGACAAGCTCAGCAGCCACAATTACAAACTCGTCAAGAGTCTACCCACTGGCAAGCTCGTCTTCCTTTATAACCGACGGCCGAAGATATGAAAGTCTACGTTTGTGCTGCGCCACTAAAAAAACCACTACTCGCTATCGAGGCTCTCTTCTCTAGTTATTTCAATTGAGGTGCCGCTACTCGTACTCAGTGATCGTAAAGACTCTATCGATGACATATCTCTTAGAAACCAGTGAAACGAAAAAGCTACATATATTGTCAAGAATACTCGCGGATCAAGTTTTTAATACACACTCGTTCGGCATTTTACAACGAACGTTTTATGCATTTTTTTCGTCATAGAGGATTAATACTGCGCCTATATAGTCAATAAGTCGTGACTTCATTTGTACTGCATTTAAAAATGAGCGAAGCTGTGGTGCGTTGACTGACTGATGAATATAAAGTTAAAGGTGTTTTGGTGCGGATCATTGTATAAACACGTCCGAAATATTTGCTAATATTGGAAGTGTATGTGCGAAAAATTTTACAAAAATGCATTTCTATCTAACATGTGTTGGAAGGTTTACTGATGATGTAATGATACAATATTGTACTGGAAATTTTGATTTTCATGTATCAAAAGTACGCACGCTCACTTTTTTGTAGGAAATATTTTTGTAAATTTTACAGACTAGAGATTTTCAATCATAAGTGCACGCACACGTGCGCGCGCGCGCGCCCACACACACACACACACACACACACACACACACACACACGTCAACAATAGCATTATCGACTCTGTTGATTATAATACGAAATTATACTTGTTTATTGATATTTTTATGTCGAAAATCACTCGTTTTATTCAATCATTTAGCTTCAGCAAAATCTCGTCCTCATTATCATTCCGATATATGTTTGTTTTATTCCGTGATAATATCATTTGTTATAGAGATTATAAAACTATCAATAGAATTTTGTGTAATTTTGCATTCAATGCGGAGTATTTTTATGCATTCTTAACTAGTTAAAGTATGAAGACAGTACAATTATCTAACGCAGATCTTAACTTTCAATTCGTCATTTTTTGTAGAACAACTGGTGAATTGTGTCAATATTGAAATGATGCTTTCGTATTCATTATTAATTTGTATATATAAGCGTGATCGTGTGGAACTTTTGTACATTTGTGTCGTACTAACGAACGATTAATGGTTGCCTCGCGCTTGCCTGTAACGGAGCAGTGATAAGCAACAATTAGTTACTGAAAATACCTTAATACCGGGCCTTATTAGATACATAAGTAAATTATTAATTCCTGCCGAGAGAAAAGAATTCTATGGATATTTCAGACTATTTGTAATGCTCCTGCATATGATGTAATTACATCTATAGATATTAAACTTCACAAATAGGTATACAGTGATGATACTTTACTAACTAATTAATATATACTGATTGAGTTGAGTGACCTTATTCGATTGATATGTTTAATTTCTTTTCAACAATGTTATGTTCTTTCTGTTCTAAAATTTATAGATAAAGTGTACATCTTGAGATATATGAATCTCTAATAATTACATGACTCACAATAATGAATAGCTCAAAATATTGTACTCAATCAGTTGAAAAAAATGTTGCTAGTAATAATTGAAAACAAAATGTTATCGTTATAAACGATACATGTTAACAAATAATTAATTAATAGATTCGCACAAGTGTAAGCTTTCTAAGTATGAAAATTACGAAATATTGTCGAATACATGCGTAATATTTTGGACAAAATTATAACTTATGATATGCAAGTAATCTCGTATCAACTGATTGGTAGCTTTTGTCAAATAAACAAAATTGTATTATAATATTAGATATAGCATAAACATAACCTTATTATGTTTATACAAACATAAAAGACTAAATTGATTATTATAATTATAATTTTTCTATTATCACTAAATAAAAATTAATTTATTTTCCAAACTGTATTCTCTTATATATGCACCTTATTGACAATTTTTTAAGTATATTATACGTGATTTTATTGATTCAGCAGTTAGTAGAAAAATATAATGGAGTTTCTCTTACATTTTGCTTGAGTTCTAAAGCAATTGTGATTTTTTTAGAACTTTTTCACTATTAATTTTTAAATATCATTTCTAAAATGATTTCAAATTGATGTATTCAAATTAATATTTCATTAATTTATTTCATTCGGTATTTTGGTACATAATACGTATGATAATAATTAATAATTATTATCATACGTATTATCCAGTCAGACATTAATTAAAATACACCGAAACGTAATAAGCATATCAGAAAAAAATATGCATTAAGACAATAGTTTCAACTGTGACATTTTACTGATGCACTACTCGTATGTTTCCGTAGAATATTTCAATAAATCACATCAGTTTTCTTCTGAGAACTTTCTGAGAACGTCAGGAAAAAATTTTGAGCAATGACTAAATAGCTAGAAAGGGTAAATATGCAATCTGGTAAATGAATTCGATTTAAATTTCTAACGGGTCCCATATTATCAAGAGCTATTCCCTTTATTTACAGGATCTAATTTTTCCTTACTGCAAATAAAATGCTATTTGTAATTATGTATGAGTTTATTTATTCCAATAAATGTATTCATTAAAAATGAAAAGGTAAAACTTGAGATTAATGAAATTAAAATAAAAAAAGAAATAAAATGGTGAATGAATTGTCATAATTTGCGGTAAGTAAAACATACAGAAAATAGTCAGCCTTATTACTGTATACTGTATATGTCTGTATGTATAACAACTTGTGAAAAATAATAGTTAAAAATATTGTGATTTGTATATTAGAAAATCAAAGGTAAGTAAGCATTAAGAAACATGTAATATAATCTATTGATACAGAAAGTAATGATAAGGATAGTTCATTTTTTAGAACTAACTAAAAGCTTTGTATTTACCAAAGATATAGGCATTAGATATGTTTCATTTTTAGATTATATACAAGATTGAAAATAAATTGAATCCGTTTCTGTCGTAAAGCTTTGATTTGAAAATTCAATTCGGATAAAAATTAGATTTAATATGCGGTATTTATATGCCATTCATTGAACGAATATTAGAAACGAATCTCGTAAGCAGTCGCGAGTTACGTAAACTAGAAAAAGCATTGAAACTGCTCGCCAGATGGAAAAAGCGCAAATTGAAAGGTGTGAGGCGAGGATATTTAAAAAGTCGAGGGGGAGCTATGGAATACTTACAGAAAAAAGCTGGGACGCGTGGGCAAGTAAAGAGACCGGTTCTCTGTCAGTGGCAGAGTAGACGCATAGGATAGAAACGCGGTATACTGCTGCTTAGAGGATTTCGCTGAAAAGAAGGCTTTTTCCCCTTTCTCGCCGCGACAAATGCGGAGAAAGAGAAAAATGCGTGGCATAGTATCGGTTTCTTTTATTGTCAGCGATAAAGTGACTTGGCGCGATAACGATATGCGGCGGTCAATAGTGTCCCTTGGCGTGCAGAGTTGACACTTGCTCACGACGACTTTTCGAAAATGCATCGATCCTGCTACTGTTGCTACTGTGCTTGAGGATTACGAACACGTACGCACGCTGAAAGAGAAAGAGAGAGAGAGAGAGAGAGAGAGAGAAGTAAGGGATTAGAGGGATATACGGAGTACAAGGCGCCGAGTTATGGAGGCCACCGGAATGCTGAGCGGCGAGGCCGCGCGACAGGAAGGGTCCAAGCTCTGGCAGTACATCTCTGCTGTATCCGGTAATTGGCTTACAGTCCTCTCAAGGATACCTACACCTCTGATATTACTCTCACCCCTACGAGCAATCTTCATTTCCATTTGTGATCCGTTCGCTGTCTGTATTGTGCCCTCTTGATCCGGGAGTTTGATACTCAACCAGTAAGCTTTCATCTGCTTTACTTCTTGTTTTTCGCTCTTTTGGTTTTTACTATTCATTGTAGGCCTCTTCCTTTCTCCATCTTCCAATTCATTTTGCATACAATAATGTCATTTTACTCTTGTCAATTGCCATTTGTCAACTGAATATCTGATTTCAATTTTCAATATTATAAATAACTTTCTGGAACCAATTATAAATTGTAAAAACTTAAAGAACGTGTCGCTGACTGTATTATCTTCAGCATACAATTGAAACGGTATCTGTTACTCACTACGATACGTTGAATCTTTGAAATTAGTATTTTTTGTGCAACACTATTTGTCTATTTCATTTTTATTAGAAATGTCAACAACTTTTTCTATTCGTTCAATTCAATCGATAAGTTTTTATCTTATCACATTTTTGGTATAAATATATCATTTCCACCTTTGATTAACATGTTATGACAGTGTTTAGCAAATAGAACACGACTACCTTCATGGGTTATCAATGCTGAGATCTATTGAAATTTATTTATTTAAATATTTGAGATTCATATGGCACTTCAACGAGTAATTTATCTTTGAGGCATTTTCAGTTAAATTAAGGACTATGTTCATGGAACTTGAATTTATTAACACACTAATCGTTAAAAACGATGAACTGGTATGCACATATCTTGTTTACATTTCGCAAACAATAGATTGCTCATTTTATTTAGAATAGCTACTTGAAAGCAATTAAAAAAAACAATAGCCTTAGAAAAATCCGATAAGCTATAGAGCATACAAATGACTAAAGTAAAACTGAAGAGTTTAATTCCACAGTCTTTCAAATAATTAATAAGAAAAACCTGGCATCGTATAGCAGAAAAAGTAATAATGATACTACGTCGGAATCTGCACAGTATGCTTCCTGTCGATTGGCGTCGGCTCGGGATTAGCCTGGACATCACCGGTACTGCCACATCTGAAGGCGGCGGACTCGTGGCTGCCAATGGACGAGGAGCAAGCCTCCTGGGTATCATCGTTGCTCGCCATCGGCTCGATGATGGGCGCGCTACCGGCGGGGGTAGTTGCAAACTCAATAGGTCGTAAACGGACGATTCTACTCTTGGCGATTCCGTTCTTACTATCGTGGGCCATCATCTTGTTCGTCAGCAAAGTTTGGATGCTGTACGCTGCCAGATTCATCGTCGGTTTAGCCGTGGGCGCCGCCTGCGTCCTCGTGCCCACCTACTTGTCCGAAATCGCCGAGCCATCCGTCAAAGGTACGCTTGGAGCGATGTTTCAGCTATTCCTCACGGTTGGTATTGTCTTCACCTTTGTCATGGGTGCGCTGGTCGGTTATACCACGCTCGCTGTTGCTTGCGCCATTATCGAGGTCGTTTTCGTCGGCAGCTTCATCTTCATACCGGAATCGCCCGTTTGGCTGATGGTGAGTAATTCTAATCTAATGGCAATGACTAAGCTTTAAAAACATTTGGCGACGAAGAAATTGTTGACGTCGGTGGCAGCGGGCTACGTTACTTTCCCAAAGAAGCCGAACTTGAGACGGTAAAGAATTTGCGCTGAACGTATATGCGCGCGTGTGTGTGTTGCAGTCGAAAGGCAGGCGACTGGACGCCAGTGCGGCTCTGAAGCGTTTGCGAGGCGACGCCTACGACGTGAACTGCGAAGTCGGACAGCTGCAAAAGGAGGCGGAGGAGAACGCGTCGAGGAGCAGCAGCGTGTTCGATCTCGTTAGACTGCCAGCTCCGAGAAAAGCTCTGTTTATCTGCTTCGCCGGCATGGCCTTTCAGCAACTGTCCGGTGTCAATGCCGTCATCTTTTACACCGTCGACATATTTAAGGCGGCCAAAAGCTCCCTCGACTCCGACGTTGCCGCCATCCTCGTTTCCGTCGTGCAGGTTCGTGCTTGAGTATCCTTTTTTTAGGCCTCGCGCGAGTTTACTTCTCTGCTATTATGCCGCGCAGTGCGTGATGGCCGTGGTGGCAGCTGGTATCGTGGACAAAGCAGGCCGCAAGCCTCTGTTGATGTTTTCCTCGGCGGTTATGTGCTGCAGTTTAGTAGCTCTGGGTCTTTTCTTCAAGCTGCAAGAAAACGGTAGCGACGTGTCCAAGCTTGGATGGCTGCCGCTCGTGTCGCTCGTTCTCTTCATGATTGCTTTTTCGATTGGGTGAGTTACACGTATCTTTTTTACTGTCCACTTCTATCTTGACCATTCGTTTATTATCGATTGTCCACTTGGCAGTATGGGACCCATTCCGTGGATGTTGACGGGTGAAATGTTCACAGTGGAACATAAGGGTAATGCATCAAGTCTTGCCGTCTTGCTCAATTGGTTCCTCGTGTTCCTCGTTACGAAGACCTTCCCGACCATGAAAGTCATTCTCAACTCTTCCGGTGCCTTTTGGGTTTTTGCCGTCATTATGGGAATCGCCACTGTTTTTACTTTTTTTGTGGTTCCGGAAACAAAAGGTAAAACTGCGCAAGAAGTTCAAGCTGAGCTTTTAGGAAATAAGTCCAATAGATCAGTTTAATCTTATGCTTCAGCTGTACTGTGTGCAAATAATTGTTAATAGTTTGATAAGAGTATTCGCGCTGTATTTTATGTAATCATTCAATATTAAGAAGATTCGATGTTTTTATCAAAGTAACGGTAAATTCGTCAAATTCTTTTTGCAATACTCATTTGGGAACATCTCAGACTCTTAAAGAAGAGGATATACTTCGGAAAGTTTTATTTATGATCACAGTATGCAACACTAAATTTTATTATCTTATTAATATAAAACATGTTTTATGTTTGTAAAATCTGTAGCAAGTATTTTATTACTACAACTCGTTATTTGTTTGGAAAAGATAAGCTAGATAAATCGATTAAAGCTACGTTTTTAAGCACTGCGCTTTACTATTATCTTATCTCATAAAATCTGTACATCATAAAAGAAAGCTGATGTTAAGCATCCGTAATCGTCGATTATTTTTTCATGATATGTGATTGTGAAATACGTATAGATTTATGTGCCAAACAAACTTAATAAATATAAAAAATAATCATATATGTGGGCATTTATAAGGATTCAAATATTAGAATATACAGAAAGTGAATGTGTATTGTTTCAAAGATATATATTATAGATGATAACATCATTATTATTAAATAATCCTTCCTTTTTATAGTTAAGCAATATTGTTTTTTACGTTCAAAATACTGTATTTATAACATGGCGTAATCTTTATTAAGTTTTATTATTAAATATTATTGATTCAATCAATTATGTTTATATAGAGCATCTTTGATAAAAAAATTCGTTAACGAATGCAAAAATTTCATTGGTATAAATCTTTAAATATATTATGTGATTACTTACATTGTTTGAAATCAATCGATTATTGTAATAATAAATATCAATAAAAAAATTATGTTAAGAATTTTTGTAATGTGGTTATCATAATTATATAGATAGGATAGTTTAGAATACCGTAAGATGAAGTGTTTTCTATAACAAACTATTTTAAAGTTTCGCGTCAGAAATTCGGTTATATATATCCCAATTTAATGTCGTAATCTATTATTCCCTTGTAATAACAATAATATTACTAGTTTCTCAACTATCCAGATGACATGGGCTACATTTCGATAAAATCAATTTTCATCATTGATCAACAACCCATAAAGGCCATAAAGCAATTTTACTTTGTTGAATTAAATAAAAGTACTTAGAAGAAAGCGAACATTTACAAATTCATTATATTCCATGATACAACAACCAAAACACAAGGTTCTAATAATATTAGATGACAAGTAGTATCCTCTTTAACATGTTAATGTGATTCAGCTAACCAACATTGTGATATACTTCTATATTATAAAGTAACAAATACAGAAGGACTCACGTGTCCACTAAGACTCAACACAGTATGAAGTGCAAGAGACAAGAAGGCAACCTCAGAACCATTCACTATAACAAGATAGATGTTAGTTAGATATTAGCGATATTAGTAAGAAAAAGCCAGTGAAATTTGTGGCTTGCATCACCTAGTAGTATTTATTACCGGATTCAAGCATGGTGATAAAAGAACTTTTGCTTTAGTTTTAAAATATTTTTTAAAGATAATTTTATATGCATAGGAAATATTTCCACGGCTGACTAATTATTATAAAGTAATAATGTATAATTATTACTTTGTAATATTTTGTATTTTACGTTGATTTAATAAATAAATTTAAAAAAAAGAACTTGCTGCATTATAAATGATGATTGAAAAGAAAAACATTTTCATAGGATGTCTTAGGAGGTAGCATTTTTATACAGGGAAGGTATTTTGGAGCGGCATTATACAAGTTAAGTTAAACGAGTTATGAAATTTAAAAAATAAATTGAGCAATCATCGATGTGCGCAGTAGCAAGTAATGGAATAAAATTTGTATGCAAATATCGATGTTACGATACCGAGGACGAACCCTGGTTCGATAAAAATGTTAATGAAGTGCTCCGTTTTCCATGACAAAAGCAATCACGATTATAGCTGCATCGGCAATTTAATTTACGCCTGTCTTTATTTATCACGTTAAATAGAAAATCTGTGGAATGATGTTCATCGAAATAGATATTATCAAGATGATGACTGGTACGAAGATTAATGGCGTGTCGTCGTGCCGTATAAAAAGCTTCTTTTGATAGTCGAGAAAGTGTCGCCCGTGTCATCGTATGCAAATTGGGCAAAACTCTGAAACGATGCTGTTAAAGATAGTTGTCCCCGAGAGGCCTCTTTTTTCCATTGTTAGCCATGAATATCCGAGCTCTTCCATGCGAATTATAAATATTAGATGCAGCAGCTGTTGATACCACGCGTAGAAAGTCACAAATGATATTTTGCTCTCAAGTAATCTTTCCATTGTACGAAATGAAACACCTGTTTATTTTTCCGTAGCTCTCGGCTCTGATAATTAATTGTCACTTCGTAAGTTGCCTCTATACTTAACATGTATGATCGAATACTAGCGATTACATAATTGAAATTGCCGATAAGCGACATAGAAAATCGATAAAATGTTCTTTACTCTTTCATTAAGCTGGCATGAGCATCTTCATAAGCGCCATACAAGTTCAGATTCACTTCGATGCTCCATTCAATGCAAACTGCTTACGTTTATGGTACCAAAGGGATTACGTTCATGAGATCGTAGCTTTTATAGCGCATCGTAACACTCTGCATATTTTAATGTTCGCAAGGTCCCTGGCGTGTAAATGTATCAAACGTAAAATGCAAAAGTTATGCAATGGGATTTTCTACAAGAAACTGTATTGCTGTCGTAAAGTAAGTGAATCTAGTCGTAGGAGTTTCCCAGTAAATAATACGGTCATCAATAGAGCGCGAGTAAGAATCATCGCTAACTGGAATCGTCGAGTACACGTGAGGACCCTTTAACGATATCGGGAACGTTCTTTTCTGCAACGCGCATAAAAATCGGAGCTCGTGGAAATGACGACCACTCCAAGTTCAAGACAAGTCGATAATGCGCTTAATCGCACATCCAATAACTTGCGCAATGGTTTTTATCGACGAGCTAGCGAGCGAGCATCCCGGCGACAACAGGTGAGCGCAGGTGGTATTCCGCGCAACTTGACGAATCGCGTTTGGGAAGCCGCGCCGAGGCGTCGCCGAGACGTGTGCAACGACTTGGAAAAAGGAAAAATTTTTTTTTTTCGCGAGCCCGATAATAAGACGCGTATAGATATCGATTTCCAGGACTACGTCGCGACGAAAAATTCGAGCCCTAGCTGTGGACGAAGCAGCCAGATAAGAAAGTTGCCGCTCACGACCACCACGTCATCCCATTAGTCGGAATTTTTTCTGTTTGCACTGTGAAAAGGTATTCTAACTTTCGATTGTCTCACCGTTTATTCTGCAAAGTTTGGCTTTGACATAGTGGCATGGGCTGCTGAGCCGCGTTTGCAGATGTTGAAATATTGACTTTGATGATATCCAGTTTGAATGAATTTACGTAACCAGGTCGATTATTTCTTTTCTTATTTATAATCGTGTACGAGCAAGTCTTGATTTCTTATCTGCGTTTCGAAAAGTTTCTTGACTTCTGTTATACCAATCAGTAGATTGAAACAAATGCAAATCCACGCACTTTCAAATATAATAAATTTATTTAATCACTGTCGTAAACATTTTTGACACATTACCTCATTTTAAAAGATATACTATAAAGAAGAAATTCAGTAAATTTCAAAATAGAGCCGATAGGACATTACGACGGGATTCAAGAACATCACGATTCTTCCGTACTGTTTTGTATAATAACGCATTCTATGAAGCTTATTTCGTTTCGTTGTCCAAATATCTAATCACAGGGCAATTGCTTGATAAAGAATTTCGATTACAATTCCGCGACAGTTGGATATACCAAACAAAGAAGTTAATCGCATTTGACGGGCGTTTAAGTAATTTCGACTACTTGCTCGTTTTTTCATTCGTTCTCGGAGTTGCCTGGTCCCAAATAGCCTCTATCTACTCGTTGAGCGATTTGCACATCTCGGACGCTTGGAAGTACGCGGAAAAGAACACTAATAGCTCCGCTGTTTGTCTCTCAAATTTTATTGCTCTCTACCTGTCACTTTCCTTTACTATCATTCAAATAATGTCTACCCTGAGCAGGATGCAGCAGATGCTCAAACAAAATCGTTTTCAAATATGCAAACAAATTACCAGCTAACAAATACAACTAATTGTTACTACTAACAAATTTTCGACTAGATTTTCAAATATCTGTTATGAAAAAAAGTTTCCAATCAATCAACTGTAATATTTTATAAATGTCTCAATTTTTAAATACCACAATAGATTTGCAACTGATATAAAACAAACTCTAATTGGTAGATTAACACTGGGTGGCATTGTAATCTTTCAAATAAACCCTAATTATTTTTTACGCATATTCATATCATCATAATTTCATTATATAATGTTAGTCATTCGTTATTGCAACATTATTGTGAAAACACTTTTATAGTAGTTATGAATCAAATAAATTTAATGGGTCACATATTGATTCAATGTCATTAAATTAATTAGTCAATAATAACTATATACCATTTCAGGCTCTATATGTTATAATACCAAATAATTCATTTCAAACTAATATAAGTTTAGCATATTTATAATGTTTGTTTTCAAGCAGTTGAAATTATTTTCAATGCACTCTTTGTGACAGTTAAAAATCAAATTCTGACTAACTTTTATGACACAATTCTTCTGAAGAAACTAGGCAGTCATTTTCTCAAGAAAAGACAAGTACTTGCTCACTGATTGTTCAACATAATGTATATTAGAAAATTGAATTTTAACAGTTGACCGTATATTAAATACATTCGTAAATTCATATGCCCATTGCTCTAAGTATTTATTTTTTTATTTATACTTTATTGTATGAGGTTAATTCTATGTACAACTGATTCATGATTTGGAAGTTAGATGTTTTATCTGTGCTAGAGCAAAGTACTGTCAAACAAACGCGCTAACGCCTGGAATATTTCTTTGACAAACAAAGGGTTGCAAAACCATTTATATATCTATGAGAAAAAATAAAATGAAGGGACTGTTGCCATCTTATTTACAATTTGGATTTTAACAAACATTCGTATTTTTATTAAAACGTACAAGAGTCAACTGAAATAACTCTTATATATAGCAAAGAAATAAGCCAATTGTAGATGAGAGGCATTCCGCGAAGTATACAAGTGGCAATGTCCTTGCGCCGAGTCATACGTGAAGTACAAGGACCAGGCAGTGACTTGTCCATAGTGGAAGGTCGACGTTTTTCTATGCCAAATAGTGAGCTATCATTATGAATATTAAACAAAAGCCATGCGTGCTTCATTGAGTTTTATTGTATGATACCGCACGTGTTCAAATATCATGACGCATTATGACGCCTTTTCAAAATTCAACGCTTAACATTATCCACAATGACGAATGACGAAATTGTATTTACAACGCTTGTAAAACTAAATTACGCGTGATATGTTAGATTGTTTTGGTATGCGATCTATTTGATACGATTTGAGGAGAATGTTGGCACTATGGAACTAAATCTTTTAATTCATACGGCAACTACAATTAAGGTTTTGAAAAATGCTAAACAAGCCTCAAAGACAATGTCAACCAGAATTACTTACTGTTTTCCATGTTCACTTTGTTTACATTATAGACCAATAAAATTCGTCTAAAATTATTTTTAATTTGCTCATGTGAACTTCGATGTTGGTAAATATTTAGCTTTATTAAATCAGCATTACATCTATAAAGATAATGAAAATAAAATCAGCTACCGAATCTTTTAAAAAGCTAAATTGATAAATTCAGTCATGTGATTTTAAAGCACGTGTGAAAATGTTCATGAAATATACTTCTAACGTGCTTTCGACGTCAATTCAAATAGCAGAGGCGTCTGTCCAAATAGACTTACACGCGTGCTGCTGACGATACTAATTTAGACTTTTTTATAAAATTAATAATAAATAATTAATCTCTTAGACTTTTACAAAGCAGGTCGTAGAACCTTCTACCTATAAACTTTACAATTGATCTAAATGACGTGTAACGCTTACGTTACAAGACGAAATAATAAAATAACGACACAGCCCTAATGGTCCAGATAATCCATTGTTTTATAAATAATCGTGGAAATTTTACTGAACGCATTGCAAGTCGAAAAAAAATCGAATTTACGAAAATTATAGAGTTGCTTTTGCTTGAGGAAAAGGGTACGTTTTATTCCGTAAGCAGCCGCGTGGCATTGCGTAAACTGCAAATTCTGCAGCACGGAGCAGAATATTGATCGGATCCTTTGACCCCGAAAGCTGCTCAGGTGCAAGTTCAACTCTCCCTCTTACCATATTTTAAAGCACTCTTGAAATCCTCCGCATATGGTTTTCCCTCCAAATATTATACAACTGTGAATTTTAAGAGATACGATTATGATTATGCGTCACGTACAATGGTATACATTCTGCGACGAGCACACATTAAAAAAAAAAAGGTGTCAGTAACGTTAATAATTATTCGGTAATTTTTCAGAGCAAGGTACTCGTTCGCTTCGGTAAGGTTCCGACATTAGTTTCAGATTTAACGAAAGCCTCTATCAGCAACGATCGTTGACGACAAGTGTAAACAGTGAGTTAGCGGCAGTGCTTAGAGCTTTCGTGAAAAAAGCACGTGGTTTCTGGGCGTTCGAGCTGGTGGTCGAGTGATATGTCCCCCACCACCAACGAGTGGCTAGACGGCCAAGGGGAGGAGAAGCAGCTGGCTGACGAGGAGCGTCAGACACCAAACTCACAACGGCAGAACGCAATCAAAGAGTATGTGTACGGACCGGGGCTCGGCACACAAGTCTACCAGCCGACAATCCAGCCGCGAAACTACTGCGACAACGACAACTGCGACGAACGCACCGACCTCGTGAAACCCGGCCAGAGAGCCATAATCAAGTTCGAAATGGAGCTCGAGGGCGGCTCCAAGATCCTGCAATTCGTCGCTGCCACTGCCGGTACGATTGTTTCTATAACTTTTTTACCCTTGCTTTGAACCTCCCTTAAATGAAAATCCTTCCAAATTTAATATGCGTTAACTGCGAGCCCAAGTTTCACTGTTGTACAATTGTTCTTTTATGAAAGTAGTCAGTTTGCGAGCTGTCGAACAGAATTGATATTTACAAGAAGTAGTTGTATAAATAAATAAGAAATTATTTAAAATACTTTGCGACCAGTTATTATATCATCTAGATAATATGTGGACCGGTATTTTTTGTGTGTTGATGATAGTTGAAGGTAAAGTGAGTCTTGTTCTTGAAAATGGTGTATTATCAGGAAATAATGATGATTAGGAAGCTAAAATTTGAAGATCTCTACTAAAATTCACGATAGAAGAAAATGCTTAGTTTCCTGTACTAAAAGGGGTCAGCGGGGTTTACTTTCAATTACTCACACTTGTGACTTCCCAAGAGATACGATAACTTTATCGAATGTAGAAACAGAAAGGACAAACAGATGAATATGTGCAATCATCAAAACTCATCGTATAGCCTTTAAATTTTATTATTTAAAAATAAAAGTGCTGTATAGGTATTTAAGCGTATATTTCCACCAAAAATGAGCAACAACAATCTTTCTCGTTAAATATAACTAAATACATTATTGACTTTACATATATTTAAATTGCTCAAAATAGATGAAAAATTGTACAATTGTTGTAACTTTTAAAAATTAAATTAAAAAAATAAATAATTGACTTGAAACGTGAAAGATAACAGTAAATTCTTTTTAGCATGACACTCTCGATTGCGGATTATTTATTGATCATATATAAAAAATTCACAACAAATCAGATACAACTACCGAATCTTTTAAAAATGATATCAGTTTATGAGCAAGTGATGTTCCGTTAGATATATCGTAATATGAAAAATACTTTCAAATCAAGATTTCAAGCGATAATTATCGGCAAGTTCGCGAACAATTGTGTGATTCCCAGTTTAGAAAAAGTGACAATCCCAGATGAAGGTGGCTCTGTTGGAAGCCCAGCAGACGAGAAAAACAAAGAATGCAGATCCGATAAAAACGTGTAAACCAAAAAGTCAATGGAGGAGATTTGCCAAGAGTGGCAATCGAGCGTCAGAACGACAGAGTGAAAAAGAAAGCCCGTTGATAAAGAGGAAGTGCTTTGAAACGATTGAGATCTTACTAGTGCGGAATTATTATTCTTGTCCGTATGCAGGCACCAATGTATGAATATGCGCGCGCGACCTAACTGCTGAGGCGACAACTGGGAAGTGACACGGTTCGAAAGCGCTCGAGGCTTTTCATTGATTTTTCAAAGAGCTATCCTGTAATGCGCGCCACTATGTCAATACTACAATATTGTTTTGACACATATTATACTAGCGTAGGATCTGCTTTACGTACACGTATGCTTATCACTATCTGCCTGATAATATATATTGCCGTCACAGTCGAAAAACGATTGAGCAGCTCATATTTTATAAAAATAGTGAATTTTAATAATTTTTTCAATGCCACACAATTGTTACATTTCAAATATATTCACAAAAATATGTTGTTTTTCAAATCCATTGATTTTGTTTCGCAACAGACATTTGAGCTCGAGCGATGTAACGTAAACAAGAATGATTATAATTAGCAAAATAATCAGAAGGTAATATCAAGAGTTTCAATATAAAATGCATGAAATTTATGTAGTGTTATTCGAAACATAGTAATTCACTTTCCGAAAGAATGCAATAAAAAGATAACGTATAGAGATTTGCACCGAGAGTTACATTGAAGGCAATGAGAAGCGCTATCGCTCAAAGTAAAAGATGGACTCATTGTAATATTAACAAGAACATAATGTTACCTCTGTCTGTCTGTCTGTCTCTCTCTCTCTCTCTCTCTCTCTCTCCCTCTCTCTCTCTCTGATAATTAAGGCTTGATAAATTTCTTTTTTTAGTGTAATATAGCTAGCAATCAGTTTAGAATTGATTTTAAAGTAATTAACAACCTGAAGCATTTCTTTTACCTTGATTCCAAGATCTATCTTTTCGAGTTTACAAGTCATCAATTAAATGATACATAAACAATAACATCGATACTCAAAGAAAAGTGATCTAATCTAAAGCTTCGATTTAGACCATGCATTTTGCATTTATGCATTTTAATATGAACTAAGTTTTTTTCTGTTTATTACATGCAGTACAACATGATTTTAAATTCATAGGAGGAGAAAGTTTATACTTTGTTTTTTAACTCACCGATCTTTCAATCAATAACTCTGCAACTTGCAATCATGCTTTTGCAAAGTTAAACACTATATCATATCTTACTTATCACATCTGTTACTTTCAGCACAATATCATCCTAACGCTCTTCAAGTTACTTTATGATAACGTATTATCCCAAGCATATGAAAATATATATTAATATCATGATTATTTATAAAAATACTCATAACTCTGAAGCTATAAACTTGAACTTAGTGACTGTAATTTCGTCTATTACTTTATCAATAGATTACCACAGTACATCACATGGATATAAAACGATTACATTGAATTACGATTGATTTCTTGAAAAAAATGTTTAAATATTATCGTATAAATAATAAATTTTTAAAAATGCGGCGTGTCAATTCTATTTCGGTAGAAGACATGCGAAATTTCAATTGACGGCTATTATCAGAACGTTTGAATGCGACTTCAATACGATAAAATTGAATACGCACAAGTGTACCACTCGCCCATTCTTATTGGTAGATAAAGAACGATCTGTATAGTTTAAATTCGTACTGTGAAAGCACTGATCTGCATTATCATTGGTAATTTTTACAAATGCCATATTTGCATAGCGTTCAATTATTTGTACATCGTTAAATCTACAAGAGCATTGAGACCACATATTTTATCAAAGTGCAAACAAAACTATTTTAGTTAGTACAGTATATTTGAGATATCATTAAATAATAAATATCGCCAATGGTTTAAGTCTTTTTTTACAATTTATTTCATCTTCTTTCTTTAACATTGCATTTTACTCTTTTTGTTAGCCTTTTTTCCAGGATCAAAATGCTCACTGACAAGTACAACTGAAAATAAACGATGATAAATGTTTCAGCGAATCTGTGTATTCTGGCAAGTGGAGCGATGATGGGCTGGACAAGTCCAGTCCTCTCGTACATGTCGAAAAATAGCACGGAGCCGGTGGATCCGGAAAACCCGCTCGGATACAATATAACATCCGAAGAGAACTCGTGGGTCGGTTCAATAATGACCATAGGAGCAGTAGTTGGTAGTTTGATTTCAGGATACCTTGGTGAAAGGTTAGCTCGTATTACATTACATTACATCCTCAAATCGAAAGTTAAAGTTGTCATATATCTGGACCTCTATTTGGTTTGCAGGTTTGGCCGAAAGAAGGCATTACTTTTCAGCGCGGTGCCTTACCTCATTGGATGGATACTAGTTGCCACGACGAAGAGTTTAGAGCAGCTGTACGCAGCTCGATTTATTTTTGGCGTAGCTTTGGCTATCGATTTCACAATTGTACCCATGTACTGTGGTGAAATTGCGGAGGTAGGTTCCTTTACTGCTAGCTGGAATGTTGGAGAAAAAACGAGTTCTAATAATGCCATTGCCCGGTTATTACGATTCGCAGACGAGTATCAGAGGTGTACTTGGTTCCTTCTTACAATTGTTCGTCACAGTTGGCCTATTGTTTTCTTATTGCATTGGGCCCTACGTGTCGTATACAGTATTCTGGATCGCCTGTGGCAGTCTGCCAATTATCTTTTTCGTTTGCTTCATGTTCATGCCAGAATCGCCTTATTATTTGCTGGCTCAAGGAATGAAAGACGATGCCGCGGAGTCTCTTGCCAAACTAAGGGGAAAAAACGTTGGTGCCGTTCAAAAAGAACTGGGCGAAATGCAGGTACTGATATCCTCTTATATAACTGTCCGTGACGAATGAAAGAAGCAAAGCATTGAAATTTATTCGTGGTAATGAACGCAGACAGCGGTGGACCAAGCGTTCAGTACAGAGGTGAAGATGTCAGACTTGTTCACAGTCAAGTCCAACTTCAAGGCACTATTGTACACTTGCGCAGCGGTCAGTTTTCAGCAATTGACGGGTATCAACGTCGTGCTGTTCTACACGCAGGACATTTTCAAGAGCGCGGGCACGAGTCTCGACCCGGCTATCTGTACTATCCTCGTTGGCGCCGTGCAACTGGCTGCTTCGGGCGTCACACCTGTCATCGTTGATCGGCTTGGCAGGCGCACGCTTCTCATTATCTCGGGCATCGGTACCTCGATCACTACTGTGAGTAACTTTCACATCAAGTCAACTTTATTGAAACTGACCAATTCCCCTAAATATAGTACTGCGATCAAGGCCTAGGGTCAGCGTACTTTTTTACATTTCAAAAGTAACATTTCGTAATCTTTATACAACGTTTTTCCAGAATTTCGATATCCAATAAAGTTTGCGCGATCTTTAGTAAATTAAAAAACTAGATGAGAAAAAATCTGAGATAAACGGAAAGTCACGTGAAATGGAAATAAACAATTACACCGACACTCAAAGTTTTTTTAACGAATTATCGATTAGTATTGTATTTTTACATTGCGCAATGCTATGATCTTGACACCTGTGGAATAGACTTTTTTTCTGTTATCGAAGTAGAGCAGCTATTGGAATGCACTGATAACCTGTCGATCCACGCAACTGATAAAATCCTTAAAACTGTACCTGAAATCATTCCATAAGTAGTCGTCTATATTTTTGCGTTAATTGTTGTTTTGTTCGTTATGCTCGTTTTTATTTATTTCACTGATTAAATCTCGCGGAAGCTTATGTAACAGTCACAAAAGACAAAACTTTATACTCAGGTATGGCCCGATAATGCTTTTCGGATATGTTCACACGATTTCATAATTTGGCTCTTGTGTATTTTGTTATATAACATTCAACAGCAACATGTAATATTAGGATATTAACGTATTTTATTTGTAGTACCATCAAAATTTTATTTATTTGATAAAAATTATTCCTAATTCATTGATTATTAAATGAACATTAAGATGAATTTGATTTTGAATTTTTTGACGTCACATTTCTTTTCAACTTTTAAATATCCAAACTATTATATTGATTCATTACAATTTTCTAAAATGCTTGATAGAAACATTTCGATGAACTCTTGATCATGGGATTTATTTATATTTCGTCTCGGAAATTTGATGATGAAAACAACAATATATCAGGTTTTCCTTAAGTACAATTTTCCGTAAAAAATTCAAAAACTCCAGCCTTCCATTATAAATTAGGACATTCAAAACAATGTTACGATTTAAAAAAAACGACGAATTTGGTATAGCATATACATGTTAATATGACGACAATGTGGTAGCATATGTTTGAGTTTTTATTATTGCTGAATCCGAATTAATTTATTATTTAATTGATTCCATCAGATTAAGGTTGATGATCATCTCAAGGTTAATTAAATCAAAAGAAGAATTACGCTGACTTAATTTATTTGTTTTGTGCTGTATAGATCCCCGTACAGTTGAATTTTTAATGCTGTATCGATAAATATATTTGTCAAATCCTATTTTATGAATAACGTAAACTGATTGTGACAGATCATAGATGTTTGGAAAAACCTTGAAATAATTAATTATTCTTGTAGAGCAGAAATGACCGTTACGATTTTAAAGTTAAAAGGTAAAATATTAATAAAACACACTTATACGAAGACTAATTTACGAAAAATGTATAACATTGATCTTACGTTGATAAAAAAAAAATATATTTTTGCAATTTAATATTACCAGCAGTAATTAGATATTATTTTTTGTTTTAGGATTGTTGCTTACGTTATTAATTTTTGACCTCGATGTCAGTATTATTACTTAGGTAGAATTGAAATTGACTCTCAACAAAATTAAGAAGAAAAATACTTATTATTCACATTACTTATTGAATAATAAGTTTACATTATTTTAAAATAAAAACCATCACTATTGTCAAAATAAAAATTATCAATAATCGAATAATCACCGGATTTTAATTTTTCAGGGTTCCCTAGGAGTATACTTCTATCTACAAAGTGAAAAAAATGCTGAAGGGTTGGGTTGGTTACCAGTAGCCTCGTTGATAGTATTCGTGAGTCTATATTGTATTGGTTGGGGTCCATTACCCTGGGCCATCATGGGAGAGATGTTCTCGTCAGAGGTCAAAGCTAAGGCATCGGGCATCACCGTATTAATTTGCTGGGCATTCGCTTTCGTCATAACCAAATACTTCAGCACCATTTCCAATGCTTATGGGAACCATACAGCTTTTTGGATCTTCACGGTTTTCTGTATCCTCAGTATTGTCTTTGCTCTGATGCTGCTGCCAGAAACCAGAGGCAAGAGTCTCAAGCAAATTCAAAGCGAGTTGAGTGGTACCGAGTACCAAGATGAGGATGAAGAACTTGGTGAACCCACGGCCAAGATGTGATTTTCTTTTTGTTTCATATCGGTTATAGTTCCATATATTTTTATTTTATAATCTGCGCTTATATACGATAAGGATCGTATAAGAAGGTCAATCTTATGACTATTTATGAAATAACGAAATTGCTGATTCATAAACAATTATTTTGAATCATTGAAGCGCAAAAATAGTCTAAAAATTTGTGATAATTTTGTTGTCGGATTATTGCATATGATTTATTTAGTAAAATTTAAACAGATTATATAACAAATTGACATTAAAAAAATTCGCTTTTTTAAAATGTCTTTAAGTGCCTTATAATAATATCTTATTGTTCGAGACGTTGAAGTTGTTATTGAGTAAAAGTTTACTATTTTCAAATGAGAATTAGATCGATGAAGTTATTTGGCTGTAAAATTGATTATGAAATCACTCAATGTAGTTATAATACATGTGCTAAGTGAAAATTAAGTATTTTAAAAATAAGAATTACGATTTTTTCCCTTTTATCATTGCATACGATGCTCCTAGAAAAAATTAAATAGAAATTATAATTACCTTCGATTTGATCGTGGTTCCGGTTCTTGAAATGGTATGGACATGTTTCATTGTGTATTGAAAGTTGTAAAGATGGGGCTTTTTCACAGCTATCTTCTATATAGCTTTTTATACAATTGTCCTGCTTGACTTACTGTAAATTTGCGTTATCATGGTTGATTTAATAGTCAGATGTGTGATGCGTATTTATTTAATTATTGTATCATTAATTGATACCACGAGCACAAAATAATGTACGATTATGTGTATTAATATCGTAAATTTATATCATTGCTATTTACAATACAACAATTTACAATATCAATAGAATTACAATTATATAGCAAATTTATGCCATATGATTGTAAATGTATTGCAAAGATTTATTCCATTTCCGTACTCATTTAAAAACTTATTTTTAAAATGCATTTACTTATATTCAGAGTTCCTGCCTTTGTAAATTATGTTTCATAACGTAGAAGATAATATTGACTACGTTATCAAGATTATAATTAAATTAAGTTCAACATTGGTTAATGTCGACTTTGCTTACCCTTGATATTCGAAAAGCAAAGCATTATTGATTATTAATTATTCTTTCAAATGCATGAGTGTGTAGCGTGAAAAATGTTTTTAAATTGAAATGTTGAATAAAATTGTTATGAGCGAAATGTTCTATTAGTGGTTTTAATTGGTACGATCGAAGTATTTTATTAGTGCGAAATTATATAAATTTATAATTTGTTAAACATATCAAACCATGAGTATTTTATATTTAAATGTTGAAGTAATTTGGAATAAACTTTCAAACTAGTGAAAGCTTGAGTTTTTTCCCCCTGTCTCGTAATCAAATTTATCATGTAAAACTTACACGAAGCCTTATATTTTCAATTTTTCAATTTTTAATGATTATAATATGAAACATGATTAAGTTAATTCTTGAAAAAAACTTTTCATCGTGTATACTATACATATTCTGTATAAAAACAAAATAACGTTCCACGCGATGGAAAAAAATCCTAGGCTTATTTTATTCCATTTTTCAATTGCTAATAAATATAAATAAAACGCGTATAGCAAATTGATTAATCTAAAAAAATAGAAATAACATCGACAGTGAAAAATATGAGACGAATGAAGCGATTGCCAAGTAGTATTCCCCACCGTTGTGAAAAGATCGATAAGTGGGGTAAAGTGGACTTTGACAACGCACGCGAACACTGACTTGTAGCGAGATTGTTTACAGTCAAGCTCGCGCAAGTGTCGCAGAATTCGAACTGAGTGCGAATAGTTGAAGTTAAAAAAATGACGGACGCAGGTTCAAGGACCCTGCAGTTCACGGCTGCGGCTGCAGGTAAGATTTTATCTTTCAAATATTAACTAATCTACTTTTAATAACGAGCTGTACGTGCAGAGCAGATGGCTGCACTAAATTTACAGCGACCATCGTAAAATGCAGTCGATGAAATATTCGTTAATGCTACGAAGTGCTTAAGCGTTAAATTTTTAGGAGTTTCGGTCACAGCATAAAAAATTTTTATCAGATGTACTTCCACGACCAGAAACAATAAATTTGTCGACTCTAAAATACGAGTAGATCTATGGAGATCAAATATAAGCAATATTAAATTACGATTGCTATTTAAAAAATGCATTCTATAATCCGTCCATTAATCGCATGGCTTAAAGCTGATAACGATCACTCCAATGTAATTTCAATTGTCAATGTTAAGATAGAAAATTCCAATCAGAAACCGATATGAATATAATAAATCATATGAGCAATGTGGATAACTAGAAAAATACGTAATGTATATTTAATCTCACGTTGTATGACGTATTTTGTCAAAAAAATAAAATCAATTAGTGAATAAAATAAGTCAATAAACTCAATAAGTAAAACGTTTAGCTTCGGTGCGCCGAAAATAATAATAAAATGACCGATAAAGTAATTGCCGGCAGGTAATTTGAATATTGTAGCCTGCGGAGCTATACTAGGTTGGACCAGTCCAATTTTGCCGAAATTATCGAGAAATAATCCAATTTCGTCGGACAATCAGCTGCTGCGGCCGATAACGACAGACGAGGGTTCGTGGATTGGTTCGCTTGTTGCTTTGGGCGTCATGTTCGGAAGTTTTGCGTCCGGTTACCTTGGCGAGTGGTAAATACAGTTTATACAATCAGCAAAATAGAAATTCGCTTAATTGCAATGTTTCACTGTCACCTTCGAGAGTACCGATGCACCGGTTATAAATCAGCAACGATGAAAATCAAAAAATGCTGTAAATGCGTGCAGTTATGGTATACTGAAATGACCATTCAGGGCCGTACATTATTATTTATGTGAAAGTTGTAATGACAGTTAAATAGTGAATTATTCCTCTCGTGAACATCATCATTTTGCATTTCTGTGTATAACAATACTAATACTGCTATAAATAAATATATCAACATAATACTTGATGCTTTTTATTTAGGATTTAAATTATTGATTATGTGAGTAACAGTCGGTTTGATTTTCTAGGCTAGGACGAAAAAGAGGCCTTTTGATGAGCACGTTCCCTTTCATAGTTGGCTGGTTATTAGTGGGCACTGCAAAACACATCGGTCAGATATATGCCGGGCGTTTTATTTTGGGCCTCGGCGTTTCTATCCCATTTACGTTGTTACCAATGTACATAGGAGAAATATCAGAAGCAAGTTATTTATTCGACAGTAAACGACTAGACATACTTATTGACAATAAAAAAATATTGTTAGTAATCCTTTGAAAATGAATATTGAATTTAGCCTAATTCCGGACTGAAAAATCATAAAATTAATTTTAATGGTCTTGTGAATGACGTTTTCATAATTAAACTTGTCGTTATAACTCGATAATCTGTGATTTTATAGCAAACAAACAAAGGTCTGAAATGCATTATTGTCCGAGTCAACTTGTAAGTTATTGTTCATTCAAAATCCAATTCTAACACAAAACTCCTTGGATTCATCAGGCATCAATCAGAGGTGCCCTTGGCTCGTTTCTGCAGCTTTTCATCACCTTTGGCTTCCTGTTTTCCTATTCGGTCGGTCCATACATTTCTTACACCATATTTTGGCTGCTTTGCACTAGCCTGCACATTGGTTTCTACGTGTGCTTCATGATAATGCCGGAGTCACCGTATTTTCTCCTGAGTAAAGGACGCGAAGTCGAGGCTGCCGAGGCGCTTGCCAGGTTTCGCGGCAAAAGTGTCGCAGGTGTTGAGAAGGAGATCGAGCAAATACAGGTGAGATAGAGAGAGAAATCGAGTTTAGAAAACTGCATTGTTAACTAAACTTGCCCATAAATTTTACAAACCACTTTTTTACGTGCACCTCTTTTTTGTAAGACATGTGGCTGTTGTGAAACGAAAAACGAGCACACATTTTTTCGTTTGTTAACGAGTATCCATTTTATAATATTATAGGCGGCGCAATGTATTAATCAAGTCGGATATTAAAAAAAAATTAATGAAAGAATCTAGAAATCACGTAAAGCGAAGTAGCCTGGATAAATTACACAGAAAGCGTATCGTAATGACAATAATGTTTGATCAGTCTGAACACAAGTAATTTCCTGTGCAAAGGATACTTTTGTGGGGAATTGTAACTGTCAGTTTCCATTTGCGCGAATCCATACATAGATTAAGTTGCTAAGTTTATGGTTCTAACGAGCAACTTTATTTTTACCTGCAGATGTATAAAATTTTACGCGGTCAAAATTAGTGATCATTAGCCATACGTATAGGTATCTGGTTGAAACTATAATCACAAAGTCATTAAAAAAATATTATATAATATGCTAGGTTTTTACTTCGGCCATTAAGAGCGAAATTGCAGTGCAGAACAATGTTTACAGGTAGAGATAGACGAAGCATATCGAGTAAAAACGAGCTGGGCTGACGTATTCAAGGATAGAGTCAATCGTAAGGCCATTGTACTGACGAGCATTTTAATGACCTTCCAAGAGTTCATGGGCATTGACGTGGTCCTATTCTATACGGAGGACATTTTTCGCAACGCTGGAACTAAAAACACTGCCATGTCCGCCATAATAATTGGCGTCGTCCAAATGCTTAGCTCTGTTTTAACGCCGCTTGTGGTTGATAGGTCTGGCAGAAAGATATTGCTTATTATTTCGAGCGTTGGAAGTGGTATCACTGTGGTAGGTACATCCTTACTAAATTTGCACAAAACTCTACATAAAATTATACACAATTCAGTGCACAAAAACACACATATACACACACATTTCGGTATATATTTTTATGCATAATATTCTGCACGTGAATGTGCACGATCGATGATTAACTAACCCAATTAAAGTTTTATAAAGGGCGGTGCTTTACAGGATTGCATTTACATTATTTTACGGAACAATTAAACACAAAATCGTATTGGATTTTTATAGCTCATATTTATGTACGATTTTTCTTGCACACAAATTCGTATCAACATTTTACGGTGCGCGCTCTTGTGTAGGCGCAAAATTTTGAGAAAAGCTATGCAAGAAAAATTCTGCCCAGCGAAAAAGACGTCATTCCCGTTACACGGAGATTCGCGTGCAAAACTTTTTCGTAAGGACACATACGATACTATTTCTTAAATCTACTTGTCCTGCTGTAGCGACAGCTAATAATACTGTTTTGACAAAGTGTTTCGTGATTAGCTCCATCGACATAAATTCTGAATAAGTTTGACGAATGTTAATATAATGTAAGCCTTTTGCATTACAGGGAATCCTTGGAACATTCTTTTATTTACAAACCATTGAATACGATTTGAGTAGCGTATGGTGGGTGCCTTTAGCCACCCTAGTAGTATACATGATAGCGTACAGCATTGGCTGGGGACCCATACCATGGACAGTCATGGGAGAGATGTTTGCACCCGCTGTCAAGCCTAAAGCGTCCTCCATATGTGTTTGCGCCATTTGGACTTTTTCTTTCTTGACGACCAAATTTTTCACAAATGTCGAGAAAGCTTTTGGCACCCATACGGGATTTTGGTTTTTTAGCTTCTGCTGCGCAATTAACATTGTCTTTATCGTAATGTTTTTTCCCGAAACCAAGGGGAAAACATTAAGCGAGATACAGAAAAAATTGAGCCGTTGGAATTCTTCGCCTATTGCTAATGAAAAGACTTCGGTTAATCAAGAGACATAGAAAGAACAGTTTATAACTCTACAAGTTAGCTGTGTCATATCTCATTTTGCAGTGTTATATTATAAATTGAGATTTCTATACCAATAGTAGTTTTGGAAAAACAAATCTTATTTATTCCACGTGATATTTACAACATCAATATTAATTTAAAAGCTTGAATAATAGACCGAAACTACGTTTCTATATCGATACGCATTATGTACAAAGTGAAGTCATGTTACGTGTACTTGTAAATACTAAGGAATTAGCGTAATTTGATTACTTATTTATGGTTACTAGCTTTGTTGGAATTAAAAGTATGCATAATTTACTAATGGACCATAAAATGAAAATAAAAATTATGTTATATCAACAAAAGTTATGTTGTCATAGTTAATAAACCACTATGAAAAATGAGAAATCAATGGACCACTAATGAAAATAAAAAAAAGCTAAAAACAAAAATTATAAATGACGTCATCGCATTAGCAATATACTGCAATCGACTCTCGGCGATTCTTTTTCATTGAAGGTGCCGAATTCTGTAATTATAAAAACTATAAATTTAAGTAAATGCTTTTATAATTATGCATATATGTTTGTAATATTGGCGCGAAATAAAATTTTTTAGATAATCATACTTATTCTTACATTACACTGTAAAAAAATGGACTTTTAACAAGAATGCTCTAGCAATAATAAGATCCCTTGTCAAAAGACGAATTCTGTTCATTACTATTTTACGATGAAAATTCTCTTGAAGGAAAAGGAATCGTCTAGTTATAAGATGTTTATAATAGAAATTAAAGAAGCTAACTTTCAGAGTAATTTAAAGTCAGATTGTAATTAACATATTTAGTCCATTCCATTGAGAAGTAATTAAATATTTGTTAGTCACTCAGCGTTATTATAGTAATCCGTTTCTAATAATAAGCTGTGTTTGCATTATATGCGGTGAAAAATAGATCAAAGCTGTACTTACATAAGCTGTACTTACATAAGAGCATGCAACTAAACTACAATCATGAACTATCATGATAGATTTTTGTGATTTTGGTACATTTTACGATATTTTTCGACAACCACAAAATGTAATTTCTTTTACTGATTTTATATAGCTATTTATATTTTGTATTAATTGTTATGTCAAAATTTCCTTCTTGTAAAATCGGTATATTATTAAAAAGAAAAGCGAGATTACTTATGAAGGATCTTCGATAATGATAAAATAAAACAATGTAGGAGAGCAATAATAACAACTAATTTATAAAAATCACATTGATATATCATTTAGCTTACGAAAGATCTTTTGCATCAGTGAACATCAGTATAGTGAAGTATACATTTCGCCTCCGTTATTAGATTTTACCGTATTTAATATTGAATTACTCAACTTTTTACGCTCGTTTCAAAATATTTAAAAAAAATATTTTCAAGTTCCTTGATTTCCAATTACCTATGTGACTACCATAAAAAGTTCGTTGCGGAATATTTTGCACGATGTATGATGTTCTGATGAGCTGGAAATAATCTGTCATGTGGCACCATCAGTGTACAGAATTTTGTGAAATATTTGATGGTCGGAGTGTGAATTACACATAATGTGAGTATAATCGTTAAGTATAATACTTTCCAAGTACTTGTTGCTAACAACAGATTGTCAAGGTAGATAAGTATAAATTTATTCAGTCGACATATAACATTGTTATGAAAGACAAACGTAGGTGCTAATAAAAGCCTACGTCAGTAAAATCTGACAATCTGTTTCCCACCAACGTTTCCAGATTAATCTATACTTAGAGTGGGAGAAATCGGTCAAAATCACGTAGTTGCAGAAATATTTCTTTTATGAATGTTTACAATTATATTTTGTTGGACTTGGGACGGAATCGCAACGCTGCAAAGAAATAATTAATTTACTGCTACTGCTTTTCTAAAATGACAGAATCAGGATCTAGATTCCTGCAGTATATGGCTGCTTCGACAGGTACGAATATTAGTTTTACTTTAAATTAAAAATATTCGTTCGAAATGTAGCTGCGTATTTATATGATTGAACATATATTTAGTTCATCAATTGTACCATATAGTATATAAATTGAAACGTAACTTTTTCAAATTAAATAGCTCAGCTTATGATACAAGGAACACGTTTTTTAGAAGACTTCCGATTTAGTATCTAAAGAAACAAATCGATCAATAAAACGTGGGATATTAAGCGAAAAATCAATTATACAATTGACAATTTTTCTAATTATGTACGACTACCTTATTCACATAAATTTTGCATATCATATTAATAAGAACTAATAATTATCTAATATTATAGTTATTAATTAAAATGTGCGCTTGTTGTCAAGCAAATAATGTTCAAACAGCTCAACTAATTTTTAGAAACATATTTAAATTGGATAGTCTTATAAAGAAAAATATTCAGCTTATATTTGCAAACAATTTCATTTAAAAAAGATTACAAAAGTTGCAACTTCGAAAAATTATTAATCAATTTATTTACAATATTACAAATACAAATATATTCGAGTTGAATAGAGTCGCACCTAGTTCGGCTCGTTAATAGTAGATTTTCTTACAAGGGGGGAAAATGGAACCTTCGTGCATGAGTTCCATTTTACCCCCGTGTAAAAAATAGTGTTTTTCTCTATCCCCGGGCGAAAGCGCGCTGATTATTTAATCGCTAAACTGGAAAATCACATATTGTCTACATTCTAACTGCTGTCAAGACTGCGCAGCCATGTTTTTACTTTCGCCCGATGCTTTGATAGTCGTAGCGCCCTCGCGGTCATCTGACATCGTGCTTCGAACTAATAGGTTATATTTGAAATTTTTCACTGATGCCCGCCCAACATTTGCAGCACGAGCGTAGCGAGTGCTGCTGGTTGGGGTGGGCATCATAAATACATGAACAAACATTTTTTAATAATAACTGTTTATTAATTTTCTTAAAATTATTTTTCACATTTCTTACAAGAATAAAAATTATTTGTAATGTTACCATTGAATGTACAATTTTCATATCTTACATAAGAACTTTTTAGCCAATTAGTAGTATCTGTATCAATTTGTTCGTTTGCAATAACAATTTCTTGCCTTTGTTCGTTTTCTTTTCCAGAGTGTGTTGGATCAACTCTCAATTTTTTTGCAGGCGGTCGAGCTGAATTATTTTCAAAGATATGAAAATTGTACATTCAATGGTAACATTACAAATAATTTTTATTCTTGTAAGAAATGTGAAAAATAATTTTAAGAAAATTAAGAAACAGTTATTATTAAAAAATGTTTGTTCATGTATTTTTGATGCTGTCGCCAGCCTCTTATCGCTTCACAACATATAGGATTACAGTTTCGTGCTGCGCCTCAAATTTCAGGCGAAAATGTTTTCACTCGCGGTGAAACAAGTGGCGCCACTCACGGAGTGGGTAAAAGTGCAACTTCTTCCACCGTGGAGAAGCCGTGAAAACGCGTGCTTTCGCCCGAGGGATAGAGAAAATTTATTTTGTCACTAGTTTTAATAACCTAAGAAGTAAACAAATCTACAACCACCACAAGAAATCTTTACTTATTAAGTGCAAGTTGATCTATCCATTATTTAAATACAATTCAAGGATTTATATTAATTGATTATTTTTCATATAAAATAATATAAGAGCTCATTTGATGGTTTATAAAAGAAGCCACATAATGTTTTAAATTTAAATATTGCACAATTGATGTAATGATATCTAACCGAAGCCAATTCAAAACTGGAATATAAAAAAAATCATTATTCATGATTCATTATTAATTGTTGGCATAATTCGATATCGTTAATAATAATTGAAGCAATATTTGGCTTATTTATGTGCTAGAAAATGATTAATAAGTATTTTTGAAATAATAAAAGATAATGATTCGAATAATGTTTTGCAGTTTTTTGTTTTGACAGTTTAAATGAAATACAAAGTACTGAAAATTTCCGTAGCTTGAACACAGAACGGTTCTTACAAAACGGATTTGGTCTTCGAAAATGATTTAATTATTTAGTAAAATCAAGGGGTCCGTCTGTAATTTTAGTAGGATTAAATATTTCTTTTTTATTAATGACTGGTCGATAGATTTTCTCACTACTTCAGTATCTCGCTGTCAACATCAACGTATAATGGATTAAAACAAAGATTTCGATCTTCAAGTTTCATTTCTCATTACGTACATAGTGATTTAATTCACGGTTAGGGAAAGCAATGATTTTGCGTATGAATCAAAAGCGGGATAATCTTGATATAAATCACTAGAATGGTAATCAGAAACGCACACAGTCTTTGAAAGTACATCTTGATGCTCCATGTTGATATTCATGTTCATGATTAAGCATAAATAATGTGGTTGACTGCAAATATAATATTTCTAAAAAGTTCTATCGTAAAATGATTGATCTTCTATAGGTAATCTAAATATAATAGCCTGTGGAGCAATTCTTGGATGGACAAGTCCAATACTGCCAAAATTGTCGGAAGATAATCCAATTTTACCTGATAATCAATTACTACGTCCGATAACCAAAAACGAAGGGTCGTGGATTGGATCATTCGTCCCGTTGGGGATCATGTTTGGAAGTTTAGTTTCTGGTAATCTTGGCGAATGGTCAGTGAACAATAAATAAGAAATAATTTGAATAGAAGATTGGTTTATCATGATCAAAACTTTTATTGAGTCATTGCTATCAATGAAACGAGATTTATCTATTGAGAGAGCCATAAATTTAAAAGACATGCCAAAAATTAAGGCTATAAATCTTTTCACAACAATTACGTAGTGAGCTGATGTGTTATCTTAGAAGCTACGTGACAATAATTTTGAAATATGTTTTTTCAAATAGATACGATTAATACCGTTTTATAATTACCCTTTCAGAAGTATTGTAATGAGCTCTAAATATGTATATATATAGAGAGAGAAAGGGAGAGAGAGAGAGAGAGAGAGAGAGAGAGAGAGAGAGAGAGAGAGGGAGAGAGGGGGAGAGAGAGAGAGAGAGGGAGAGAAAGAGAAGGAGAGAGAGAGAGAGAGAGAGGGAGAGAGAGAAAGAGAGAGAGAGAAAGAGAGAGAGAGGGAGAGAGAGAAAGAGAGAGAGAGAAAGAGAGAGAGAGAGAAAGAGAGAATGATAATTGTAAACTTCGAATTTGATTGATTCCATTAGAAGTAGAGAAGTATTTTGTCAAGCAATTTAAAACATTAACGGCTTTCTCAACAAAGCTACAGCCAGTTATAATTGTTTTATAGATTTCTTATGGTAAGTAATTAAGGTATGAAATCATTTATTTTAGGCTTGGGCGTAAGAGAGGACTTCTTTTGAGTACGTTCCCTTTACTTCTAGGATGGATACTAGTAGGCACCGCAAAAGATGTTATTCAAATATATGTTGGGCGCTTTCTACTGGGTATAGGCTCTTCAGTTTCTTTTACACTCTTACCTATGTACGTAGGTGAAATATCAGATGTAAGTCCTGACAATCTGTTGATATCAACTCTTTCAAATTAATTAATTGATTATACGAAATTAATTGAATTTATAAGAAAAAAATGATTTGCGATTGAGTAGTAAAAATTAATTTTGGAGTTTTGGTAGTTACATTAATGAGAATTCAGGTCTTTGTGCAAGAGGGTATGAATTTGATTTTTAGGCATATGAAGCTCTACATAAATGAATTTGTCATATATTTGTTACTGCGATTTCAATGGTTTGAATTCCACCCCATAGTATATATTTGGTCATAACGTAAAAAGACTATCTCATATACCCTTCCAAAAATGCGAAGGGAAATTAATTTACATGTCCCATATAACAAAAATTAATGTATACCTGTGTATCCCATGTATCTGCAGAATTCAAAATAAACTTAATCTTTCAAGTAACAATAACAATTTTTATTTTTATTGTAAGTTAAATAATAAAGTCAAGTATTTTGTATTAAGATTATGATCGGCTGTACTTAAAAATATATTTTCCGTCAATCTTTGACGTGTATATAAATTAGATGAACTTACTTGAAATCGGCCTAAGTGTGACTCACTTTTGAATAAATCATTTTTTGTCTTTAAATTCCATAAAGAACTTAATTATTTTTCCAAAAATGTATATATATTTAAATAAAAAATGTTGAGATGAATCTAATATCGCTAGGCATCAATTAGAGGAGCTCTGGGCTCGCTCCTGCAGCTTTTTATCACTTTTGGCTTTCTACTATCTTATTCACTTGGTCCGTATGTTTCTTACACCATATTTTGGATTTTCTGTGCGAGTTTGCACGTAACTTTCTATCTAGGCTTCATGTTAATGCCGGAATCACCGTCATTTCTAATGAGCAAAGGGCGCAAAACTGAGGCTGCTGAGGCGCTGGCTAAGTTCCGTGGAAAAAGTGTCGACGGCGTACAAAAGGAGATTGCACAAATGCAGGTAAAATGCAAGTGAAATTAAATGCTACTCTATCGATGCTGGGTTTAATAAACACTTATTTTTTTACTAATTTAGGAAGAAATCGATGAAGCTTATAGAATTGAAACGACTTGGAGTGACATATTCAAAAACAAAGTCCATCGAAAAGCCGTAATATTAACGAGCATTTTGATGTTCTTCGAAGAGTTCACAGGCATCGACGTCGTATTATTTTATGTCGAAGATATTTTCCGAGATGCTAAAACCAAAAATACTGCTATATCCGCTATTATTATTGGAGTGGTTCAATTACTTGGATCTGTTTTAACGCCTCTAATTGTCGACAGATCAGGCAGAAAGATTTTACTTATTATCTCTAGCATTGGCAGTGGTATTACTGTGGTACGTAGTACGTTAATTATGGCTATAAACTCACTACGATGTCGAGTGTATATTACTTTATTGATATGAAGATCTTGAATGAATTAAATGATAAATTCTGAATTGATTCAATATTACGCTTTCATAAATTAACGATTTGTTGTACCATCTATTTAAATCTTAACAAAATTCGATGGTCTAAAGAACAAATTCGATGTTATTGGTTACAGGGGCTTCTGGCACTTTTCTTTTACCTCCGTGAAATCAAGTGCGACTTGACTAATTTCATGTGGGTGCCATTGACAACTTTAGTCATATACACAATTGCTTATGGCATAGGTTGGGGTCCTCTACCTTGGACCATCATGGGTGAAATTTTCGCGCCAGGAGTCAAATCAAAAGCTTCCTCCATCAGCGTCTGCGTAATGTGGACGTGTTCTTTCCTGCTCACCAAATTTTTCATTAACGTCGAGGAATCTTATGGCATCTACACGGGATTTTGGTTTTTCAGCGCATGCTGTGCCGTTAGCGTTGTATTTTTAGTAATTTTTCCGGAGACCAAGGGAAAAACACTCAATGAAATTCAAGAGAAGCTGGCTGGTCGACGTAATCTTGATTCTTGACCTGGCGAGGAAAAGCATGTCAACAACGATATTAGTTAGAGATTATCTTATAGGGGGCAAGCAACACGCGAAATCTTTTTTTACTCTTTTACGTAACAGTCTACAGCAAAAGAAGTAACTCTAATAGGTTAGTAGTCTTAATACTTCAATTTATATCGTGAAGTAAAAGAATGTCCACACCGACTCGATAACCAAATGCTAGTTGTTCGTTCTCGGGTCAACTCATCATTGCAAATTCTAGCGTTGTTTTATCCCGAATTATATCAATTTTTTGTTAAAAATGGATCGATTGAAGACACAGTATAACCTTACTCAAGCCATGTAATGCAACGTTGATGTAAAATAAAAGTATTGTAAATACTTGAAATAAATAGAAGCCAATTTATTATCGAAACAATCGCACTTCTAATTTCTTTTTGAACGTCCATTTTGACATTTGCACGTAACTAAACTTCAATTGTTTGAGTATCGCTCTTATAGCATCGTTGACAGTGTTTATCGCAGTTACATGTAGAGAAGGTTACAATGGCTGCGAGTGTGAAGAGAAGGAAAATATGCCAGAAGAGCCCTAGTCAGCTGGTATATCAGTTATCTAATAGATTTTTATACTAGAGACATCGATATATAATGGAAATTAAATGTAAGCTTTCGACTTAAGAGCGATGGAGACGAGAAACTACGAGCAGACCTGCTGCAACTTGTGGAAGACTTGGCTGTAAGCAATTTGGAAATCAAAAAAATCTTTGTTCGTTAACGATACCAAATAACTCGAGTAGGAAGGCAAAACGGCAGCTCTGTCGAGCTTGCGAAAGCTCATGCGCACCTCGACAACATCGATGACAGCAGTGCCGAAGCCCCTAAAGTACCTCAAAAACTCGTACGCGACATTGAAAGATCTGCACGAAAAGTCAGAGGCTCTACCGGTAGACAGCAAGCGTCGATTGGCCGATATCATCAGCGTTCTGGCGATGGCTGCTGCTCCGGAGGGATCGCGCGAGTGTCTTCGTTATTGTTTGCGCGGCACCATGAAGAAACCTGGCAACTGGGGTCACGAGTATATTCATCGTCTCGAAGCCGAGGTCGTCGACGAATGGTCAACTATGCCGCTTGATCGAGAGCAAGTCATTTAGCAACATACAATCATTTTGAAAATCGTGTTTATAATCGTGTTTTCAAATCATTTCATTTCATTCGTTATTTAAATCTACTAGTGAAATGTTATTGAAATGTTATGGAAATGTGTTTTACTGTTTTCGAAGGAACGAGTTAATGCCATTGGTGAAGAAGATCTTAGCATACGATACGAAACACCATGCCGAGATACGAGCTTGTGACGTATGTCTCGAAATTGATCAACTGAGCCTTTTGAAGAACTATCTGGATGGCAACAACTATGCAAAAATTTGTTTGTACCTTGAAAGCTGTGCCAATTATACGTAATTATCAAGTAACCGTCACAAATACTTCATTCTATAAATTAATTAGTAAGATAAGGAACATTTCTTTTTAGTGAAGATTTAGAGAGACAAAACATTTTGAAAACAGTCGCAAACTATTACCTACAGTTCAACGAGTACAGCAAAGCCATACTAATTGCAATGCAGCTGCCCGACTCCGATTTAATATACGAGTGCGTCGTCAAATGCAAAGACCCATTGTTGCGAATGCAACTCGCCTACATTTTGGCCAGACAGAGAGTTTGTTTTCATTTCTTTAGATGACATATTCTCAGAGATATCGACAAAACATCAACGATACATTGGTCGATTCAGGATCAGCCAATGAAAAAAGCTTACAATGGAGAAAACGCATCAGACATCGAGACAATTTTAAGCAACGCTCACGTGAACACCTATTATCTGATTATGGCGCGAGAACTGGACATCATGGAGCCAAAAACTCCAGTGGAGATTTACAAGTCGTGGTTGGAACCAGGCCACATCAGACTGTTGGAACAAGACTCAGCTCGAGCGAATCTCTCCACTACTTTCGCCTCGGCCTTCGTACATACGGGATTCGGTCGCGATAAACTCATGTGTGAGAGTAACATGCACTGGGTTTACAACAATAAGGTTGAGTTGCAGCTCTCTTTCCTTCAAATATTGATTTTACAAATTGCAAAAGTTTTGAAATGGCGTGCTATTGAGTTAGGAGCAAGGAATGCTATCTGCAGTAGCCTCGCTGGGTCTCATTCACATGTGGGACGTCGATGGAGGACTGTCCCCGATCGACAAGTAAAGTGCCCTTCGTCGCTCTATTTTTGAAAGCCAACGGAAAGTTGGATGCGCTTGCAGATATCTGTACGCGAGCGACGAGTTCGTGAGGTCTGGTGCACTACTGGCGATTGGTCTTGTGAATTGTGGTGTGCACAGCGACTGCGAGCCCGCGTTGGCTTTGTTGAACGAGCACGTAATGTCGTCGAGTCCAGTACTCCGGATCGGCGCGATACTTGGCTTGGGCCTCGCATACACTGCATCCCAAAGATCGGATTTGAATAATATACTGTGTCCGCCGATGATCGACAAAGAAAGTGTGTTTTTATTATCAACATTCTAATCTTACTGACAAATCGCTAAATAGTCGTCTTTTACTTGCCAGTGATGTTAAAAAAGCGTGTAACTTGCGTAAGTTAATCAAACAACATTTTCTTTTACTAATTTCCTCAGGCACAATGGAAATCGTAGCGTTGTCGGCGATTGCGCTCGGTCTTGTTAATCTTGGTTCTGCAAATGGCGAAATTAGCTCTATGATACTGCAAAAATTATTGGAACTTAATGGAGAACAACTTTCCTCGTCATACGCGAGGTGATGCGAACAAATTATAATTTAAGTCGAACATACATGTTTTCTTAGTAATTATTTACAAACTCAAAACATGCAATCACCTTGTTAGATATCTAACGCTAGCACTTGGTTCAGTGTATATGGGTCACAGAGATAATATAGAAGCTCTCATAGCAGCCTTAGACGTTTTACCAGATCCGTACAAGTTACCAGCACAAACAATGATTCAAGTAACACTGCATTTCAATTGCTCTTTTTTCATCATTAATATAATTATGTTTAACTAATTCCAACAAGGTCTGTTCTTATGCTGGTACTGGCGATGTGCTGATAGTACAAGATCTCCTTCGTATATGTTCCAAGCCAGTCGAAGAAGAGATATTAAAAAAGACTTCGTCGCAAGTAAATAAATCCATGCCTGTATGTTGCAGTTCTCAAAAAATGCCAAATAATACGCAAACTCGCGAAGAAAGAAATGAAAATAAGAAGGAAAAACTTCCAAGGTGGATTGCAATCTTGCTGAATAAACTATCAGTCAGTTAAATTGTAAACATTTTTTTATGTGTCGGTTTTTCAGTGAGATGAAACTGACACAACCGATAGCTTCTCTCGGGGTTGCTGTTGTGGGTCTCAGTAAAGGAAAAGAAAATTCTCGAATATTTGGCCAGGTAAATAATTGGCCGGACGATTACTCATTTGAATGAATCTTTGGCTCAAATTTTCTAGATTGGTAGATACGGTTCGGCTCCAGCCCGAAAAGCAGTTCCACTGGCAATAGCATTGAATTATCTCTCAAATCCAGATCTATCAATTTTGGATATTTTGAACAAGTATAGTCATGACAGCGACTCGGATGTTGCTTTGAATGCCATTTTTTCGCTCGGTTTGGTCGGCGCCGGTACAAACAACGCTAGATTAGCTGCAATGCTAAGACAGTTGGCTATCTATCATGACAAAAATCCCGCGCACCTGTTCTTAGTTCGCGTTGCTCAAGGATTAGTCCATTTAGGAAAAGTCAATTTTACTTTTATTTATATAATTAGCTTTGAAAAAATTAAAAACCTTGATTTTTGTACAATTTCTTTTATAGGGAACAATAACTTTACAGCCTTTTAAATTTTCATCGAAAGTGTTGGACCAAGCATCGCTAGCCGGTTTATTAGTCGTCCTCGTTTCATTTTTGGATTGTAAAAATCTTATACTAGGAAAGTCACACTATTTGATGTACTGTTTGGCACTTGCAATGGAGCCTCGATGGCTAGTAACCCTTGATGAAAATCTCAATGTGATTGTCATTTTTTAAATAATATCATTAATTAATTTTACTAATCGAATTCAATATATATTAAATTGTAGCTTCTACCAATCTCAGTAAGAATAGGTGAAGCTGTGGACGTTATTGGTAAAGCTGGTCATCCGATGTCTATCACTGGCGGTAGTGTAAGAACTACTCCCGTATTAATGTCTTATGGAGAGCAAGCAGAACTAGTTACAAATGATGAGTACGAGCCTCTTGTTCAACCAATGGAAAGTTTTGTTATTTTAAGAGCTAAAGGTCTTGAAAAATAGTTTCATATCTAAGAGACTTATTCAATAATGAGTTACGTTATAAAAGTTTTTTATTATTACTGAAATTATTCATTTATGTTATATTGTAGTGCAAATAACACAGTTTGATAAATTGTCTTTGTCAAACAAAGTAATTTGAACATAAGTTGTTTACAAGAATATCCTCAGTACAGCTTTCGACTATTATAATTTCACATCTATTTATAGGGATTCAATTTAGAATAAAATGCTTCATCGTGAAATGTTAAATATGGTAAAGATATATAAATAAATTTACAGTTAAATTTCTTTTTTGTATTTTTTTATTATCATTGGACTAGCGGAAGCGATGTGCTTTATACAACAGAAATCATTTACGAGCATTTGTGCAGTTACAAGCTTGAAAGAACATAACAAATGTGAACGCAGACACAATTGTATAGGCACATGAAGTATTTTTTTGCTTGGATGCCCGTTTAATTTAAATATACTTTTCATTTAAATATACTACATAATTGAATCGTATGAAATGAGTTATTATGCACAAATCGATCGAAAATTTCAAAGAATCTTATGCTTACATCTTGTACATATTTCATTTTTTAATCAATTAACTTCACACTTTTATCGCAATTTCTGTTTTTCTATTTTGATTGTTATTTTTTGAGTAATAAGAAAATACGAAATATAAATGAAAATTTAGCGAACGCTACATTTTTTCGTCACATTGTGTACGCTTTGTTTCTCTTTTTTATATTAAAAATTATAGAATAGTAGTAGTTCAATATATCGTAACTTTTCATTTAATAATGTTTTCACGTAATCATATACGTGATTCGTATATATATTTTAGTTTTATTATGCATCGTAGCACAGCAACGCAGTGCGTCTTATTTGTTTTTTTTTTAGTAGAAGACGATCATTTTGAGAAAAACTAAGCTGTTTTCATTCATACAATAACTTTTAAACAGGGTAAGCCTGTTTTTACCTACTTATTGAAAAAGTCTTCACTGCTTCATTTAGTATAGACACTAATATTTTGAATCTTTTATAATAGCTGCAATAGTTGTTTTTTCTTATACCCCTGTGACTCTGCTCCCGTTACTATTCCGTATTGGTAATAATCTTTTACTTTTATTTACAGAATATTATTTTGCGAACATTGCAAACATCATGCACACACATGTTTCTCGCACGCTAAATCTCTCTCATTCGCACACTTCAATAACGTGCTCTCGGAAATATTAAAAGAAAAAAAACTTAATAAAATCATTGCGTGTAAAGAGATGTAAAAGTCGTTGTTTAAAGATAAATCTTTAAATAAATTTCCATTAACCATGCAATCATTCATCATCTAATTGAGTTTTCTCTAAAATGCAAACAGCTAAAATAGTTCATACAGAATTAAAAATGATTATTGAAATATTCTATCAATAAAAGTCCTACAATTTTTTCCATTTTTGTAGTGTTCTTAGCGCCAAGTATATATGCAGGACACACAAGTGTAAGACGTTAAAAAAAAAGATAAGAATAGTGAACGGCGGCGGCGGTGATTCGCATAGACGATTTGGAATTATCTTGAGAACATATCTTTTATTTTTTTTATATTAAAAATTTAGAAAAGTCGAGCACGTCTTTTTATGTCGTTGCGACGCCACTGAGGCAATCGATAAAATTCTGATCTTGTACAATGCAGTACAGCTTCGAATTCAGCATCGGATAAATGGCGCTGAAAAGTACACAAGATGCAGTTTTACTACTTGCTACAGAAATATCGTCATGAAAATCGCAGTGACTCACCTCAAGATTGCAACGATCCACGTCGGCCGGTAATCTGTAGTTAGTGATGATGAGCAGGTGATAAGGGTAAAGCTTGGGTGGTTCGGCAGGTGCTACGCCCATGTCCGGCAGGGAGCGTCTTACGTGGTGGCCGTGGCCGACCGTCACCGAGCCCAGACCGCCTGTGTACGTTGTCGACGAGGGTAGGATGCCGCCGTCATTCTGTGTGTCGAACGACAAAACAAGGTTCATTAATTTAATTTCATCAGCGCTGTCAAATCAAATTTCAAAGTACATCGATATACTAGTCACGTTTGTGTCACATATATAGTTTCATTCGGTCCCCCGTTTACAATGAATGGGTAACATTTCATATTGTTATATTTGTACACTTAGACAACACACTTTCAGGCAATATTTATACCAAATTGTGGTATGAGACATTACAATTTTAATATTCATGAGTTTGTCGCACACAGCTTAGCAATATCGACAAACACCCGTAGGTACCATGTCTACTCTCAATTCCCTTTCTGTTTTCTTTGTACATCACCAGGAATTGACAAAACATTTATGTATATATATATATATATGTATTTCCTTATGTAGAAACGGCAAGGTATGATTGTTGAACTGATTATTGTCAGTGCCAAATCTGCAAAATGCCTCGATACACCAAAATCATTACATTTAATCTACTGCAAGCATTATTTTACTGTACATATATTATTCATGCAATGTATAAAACATTCTGTGATGTAATCTAATATAATTTCAACGGAAAAATAAATGAGATCGTGGTATTTAAAAAATAGTAACTGTACATATTTACAAGCATGCTCTGCAAAGTATTTCATACATACATTCCAACTTGTTTTTGATAATTTAAGGCATTTTATCTTGAGAGGATATCGAGTTGTTTATCATTAGAAATACCGAAACACCAAACTTGAAAGTATGTTGGCTTTAGACATATTGTATATATAAAAAATCGCAATATCCTCGTTTCAAGATACATTTGCTTTGAGATATCTTTCGAAGGCTTGAATTGCATCACCTACGTCGGGCGAAAGCCGCGACATTGCGCAATGAAACGAAAAGGAGGATGGAAAGATAATGTGTATTTAGAAATGTGTACGCGACATGTATTATGTATAATATGTACATCAAAATGATAGTATTGAAAGATAAAAAAATAGAATAAGAGGATGCAAAGAGAGCGTGCTACGAACCATGCTAAGCCGCTGGGAGTAGTACGGGGCTGTTGTACATACCAGTGCCCGCCGGTCCACGTCCGTGATGCTGCCTGTCGATACTAGATTGGGAGGGAGGAAAACACGGGTGAGTATTAGAAACACGATTCATAAAGACAGTTCAGAACAAATACACCCTCGAGTTGCGATGACAAACCATACTCTTACGTTATTTGCAACAACCGCCGTTTAAGATTTTCTATTTGATGGGTCAGCAAAACTATATAACTTGTACATTTTTTTATAAAATTATCGCTTGAGCCTAACCCACCAAATCATTTTAGATAATTTTTATTAAAACTAAACAAACATATTACGATTCTTTAAAAAAATTAGATTATATTTAGAATGAATTTCTTCAAGAGCTGACAATATTAAAATACAGTACATGGCTTTACATTAAATATTACTCATCAGTAATGTACATTCTACATTATTTACATTATAGTTAATAATTTCGACGGATACAATTTATAAATAATTTAATAGTTTTTCTTAAATAATTATTTTTTATAAAAATTTGATAACGTAACCTACAAAGACAATTGTAAAAATTATTGATTTTTTTATATCAACTTCATTTTATTGTATTTTTTTCTATCTAGACATTCTAATTCAAGCTCAATTTCTATACTATTTACCTTATATTGAATTTGCTAATTTGTTCTATGTATTATTTGGAAACGATCAAACCTTTGTTATAGGACTTTTATGAATGCAAGAATTTTATAAGTAATCTATTCTAGCTTGTATTAGGCTTTTCATTGAACTCTAATTGTATTAATTCATAACTTAGAATTAAGTTTGTTATTTTGTTTGCAAGAAGTATTACTATATACATAAGATTATACTACCTAAATATAAAGAGTTGGTGAGCGTGTTTTAATTTTGTAAGATAGTCTGCATTAAAAAAATCGATCCTGTTTCAATCCCACACACGTCAAGGCTCAAACTGCGTTCGACTAATTGAATTCCTTGTAGAACGTGAAATACTTACTATCTGATTTACCGGAAGAAAAGTCAGTGCTGTGCGTCTTATCGCCCATGCCGCTGAATGAGTAGTCCCCCTGTTTACAAAAATTATTGCAATGAGAAAGATAATATGCACAACAAATAAAGATCAAAGTATAATTAAATTATTGCCACTTCTAATAGTTAGCATGTCTACCGCATGAACCGAATGATGCATGTTTTGCTACATGCTTGAAAACAATAATAGATAAATAGGTAGAACGACAACTCAGAGAAAAATATGAACTCCATCACTGGCACGCTGAATCATGAGAGAAAACTTACGGGAAGAGCAGATACAGAACCGCCTGTTGAGGAGAACGTGTGACTTCGAGGTGCCAGACCATATCCCGGCTTTGGGATGTGTCGCAGGGAACTTACGACTGTGCAGTTTGCAAAGGCAAATCGAACGATTCAGTTTTAATTAGTTTCGTTTTTGCACATTTTTCGTTATAATAGGCTCACGTTCTCAGCTCATACGAATGACCAACGTTCGCAATACTTAGTTTTGTTTGTGTTTCTTTAATCTCTACACACGATGCGTTGATGGATCAATCGTTTATCGATCAATCAGACTCAAATAAATGTAAAAAATAAAAGTTTTGCATTACATTGATCAAATTTCAGTTTGAAAGCTTCTGTGGTAAATCATATTACATAAACAATATTTGCTTTGTGAGACTAATATTTTGTAATCGTAATTTCGTACAGAATTTATTTAAATTACCTATCTAAAAGTACACTACGTTTATATTTACATCATTTACTGCAATAAGTACTTTCAAAATACTACATATACGAATTTACTAAATGTGGCTAATGTAAAGATACTCTAGTGATTGTATTTGGTATTATGATGTAGTAACAATCTCGAACAAATAAAAACAAAAACAATCATTTTTTTAATTATGTCATACTATGTCATATTATAAATATATACTTACAAATTATTTTTATACATACATTTGTTAAGTTTCATACGAAAAAATTATTTACATAACGAAGTAATAAGAAAAAGATAATAGTTATTTATTTGGTTTGATTGATGACAAAGTTTTAAATTGCATTAATAATTAGAGGAAAAACACAAGAAGTTCATGAAAAAAATTATTCATAAAATGAATGTGAAAAAGGTATATATAGAAAATAATAAAAACCAGCACCTTATTGTAAATCGCTATAGTAAGCTTTCATTACTCTTATTCTTGAAAAATGATCGTAGCATCTTTCGTGACGGTTATTCAAAAATTTATAAAACTGAAACGACAAAACTTGATGAAAATAAAATCAGCATCTATCAGTGCATAATTGATATTTAAGCGATCAAGTGAGCTCAAGCAACTAAATTCGATAAATCACGTGTGCGATTTACCCTTTGTAAAAAAGCGATAAAGCGAAGAAAACGACAAAAACATATTGCAAAATCGATGAAAGCGTAAGCAACTGAAATTTGAATTGGTCGTCACGTCAGGTGCCGAGGTGTAGAGAGTGATTATTATTGCGACTCACCGAGTAATAGTGCCTCATGGAGTTGGGCAGAGTAGAGGCACGCTGAGAGCCAACAGCCGGATAGTTCCTCGGCGCCGGGGAACGCGTTGCTGATCTGTATCCGGCTGCTCACCAATGTATCAGAGCACACACGATAATACAAAACACACAAAAACAACAAGTAGGTACAGAGTGTAGGTATTGCGAGAAGTCAACACGAGCTAAGACATTATTGTGATTACTCATTTTTGCTACTCGTTTCAGTTGCATTGTTCAAAATTACAGCGCTTACTCAAACATTTTCCAAATTTTATTTCTTTGAGATTTCACGATATACACAAATAAAATATATGCAAAAAAGCAATACAGATGTGCGTTGCCAAAGTAGGTGTGCAATAACGTGTGGTAGTATGTTGCTCGCAAAAACTTGTTGGAATTTTGAACGATTTTATAGATAATTTATTAAATTACCACGCAAAAATTAATTATTGAATACTTTTTCAATAATTTCAAACAGAGCAGCTGATAATTTGTATTGTATCCGACATTAAAAATCACGAAACAAAAAGTGTCACGCATCATCTAAAGCTAAAGATACATTGTAAGTTACTCTCGTTAGATAAATCAACAAATAATAGTTCAAATGATGCATAGCACTGATGCTTAAGACCATAATTCAATTAACTTTCAATTAACTTTATTCATATAAAATTCCAATTGAAAAATAAGTCTTACGTAAGTTGTAATACCTTACACACCATGCCCATACATATCAAACTATGTTAATTGAACTAAGCCTCGATAATTATTCATAGTGTTATAAATAGTTACAAATTAAGACTAAGATGCATTATGTGCTTCATGCTAAGTTTATGTAAGTGCAAATAATATACTATAAATACTACATGGATCGTACAGTCTCAGAAATGTCCATTTTCTCAACATTCAAATAAAGCTTCGAAACTCGTCGATATATCACATATATCGACGACATATAAATATCAATATAGTCTTTCAAGAGTTTAAAAACATGCAAAAGCTTGGATACGTCACCTGTCTTCAAATGGAATGGCATTTATACTGGCAAATTCAGTCAAAATGAACGCCATTAACGACCGAGTCATTCACAATCGCCTTGATGGGATTTTTATGCATCCGTATATTGACATTATTTAAAAAAAAATTGTTTTTGAGATATATTTAAAGACAAAAAAATATACGACCGGGTTTGAAGCAATACACAACCGGTTGTAGAATGTTAGTGTCATGTGCGAACGTGTGGACATGTATGAGATGACAACGCTCATAAACCATGATGTTATTACGTAATAGCGTTCGCTGAACTTACCGTTGTAACTGGGTCCTACGCTAGATCTATAACTAATGCCATCTTCATCTTCCCAAGGTCTTGCGTGATCGATGTTTCTCGATGGAGCTACAAAATGTATAAAGTATTTCAACATCGAAACAATTTAAGTTGAAAGACTTTCATTTTGCAAAATCAGACAGTAATGTTTGAAGAACTCTTACATGCACCAACGGGACTTTCGTAGCGTAACCTGTAGGCCGGTTCGCGATTTGCAGACGGCGTTCTAGAAGCATTTCTCGGATCGATGTTCGCCGCTCTATGTTTGAGATTTTCACGGTCTTTTTCACGATCTTGCAGGAACACTTTTGCTATACCCGTGTCTATTTTACTCAATTCGTCTTGCTCTTTTTTCAGTTTCTGCTCTACCTCTTTGATTGATTTTTGATCTACCTCGTCTTCATCCTCCGAGTCTGGTACACCCTGAGATAAAATAAACAGTTTGAGCAATAAATCCGCTAAAACCAGCCTCAGGAAAAGTTCCGTAAGGCAGTCGAATGAAATAATTTAGATCGATCTGAATTGCAGGGGAAGAAGACTCAATATCTCATTCCTGTCGGAGTAGCCTTAACACCTTGCAGCAACGGCGGCATGACAAAGCGTATAATCAAATCTCGCGGGAAGAGAAGGGAAGGGAAGGGAAGAGAGGAAAGAAAGTAGATTGCTTGGCAGCATTCATTCACCTTGTAGGTATCCGACCATCGCTTACGCCTCTCGGGATCGGTGTAGGGGTAGGGCGGGGCAGGAAAGTCATCTCGTTCGATGGGCGGTTGGGCGCCGGGCGGTGGTTTCATCGCGTCCGGGTAGTGAGCGAGCTCGATCGGCTCCTCGTTGTCCACTTGGCTACCAGCCGCCGGTGATTTCGGCCGCGTCTCGCTCAATGCGTCCACCAGGGCTCGCATGCCCGAACGACTGCTTCGACCGCCGCTGCTTCTTATCGAACGTGAGGCTATTTTAACAAAACAACGTCTTTTTAACAAATAAAAAATCTCATTCTCATTGTAATTATGATTCAAGTTCTTTTGTTATGTGAAGAATCAGAAATTCCAAAGTAGTCACTATATTTACATAATTTTTTCAACGTGAAAGCACAAATTATATGTCAGGTGTGTTACTTTTATTTTGACCGACAACTGAAGTACAGAACCGGACTCAAATAATATTTACTTCGACATAGTTTCTTGAAACATATTTCCTTTGACCTTCATACATGCATAAATATTTTGTTAAAAAAAACAGGTTTTCTGTAAATTATTATAATTTCAGAATTGCGACTAATGAGTCGAACGTAATTTAAACGATAATTTTAAATAATATATCGTTAATAATTTGGCAGAAATATAAAAAAATACTTACAGCTTGGTCTATGAAAGTGTGGGCTAGTGGGTGGCTTGTCGTATGGTTGGATTGGGCGACGCAGGTATCCTTGACTCGGTGTCTCAGTCAAATATGAATAAGTATAAATGCGAGATACGTTTTCATTGCCTCGGCCGTATTCTCTCAAGATAAGTCCCGGACTGCCAGTTCTCGCGGGATAGTACTAAATTTTGATAGAAAAAACAATGGAATAGAAAGCCAACGATAAGAAGCTCATTAATTAGTCTGTCCTTGAAACATATTTTCAACAATAAGTCGGTTGTTAATCGTAATCCGAAAAACCAAATAATAAATATGTACAGAAGCTGTGACGTAGATTAGGTTTGTTGAAATCAAATAATAATTGGCATTCAGCTAAATTAGCGCTTCAGCATAAATAAATGAAATGTAGCCCTTTGTCATTTTTAAAAGCAAACATAGCATACCTTGCGACTTAGACTGCTGTAAGGGCTGCATAAAGATCCATTCAGACTTGGCGTGCGAGACCTCAATGAAAACTATACACAATGATCGTGCAAAAAAAGAAAAAAAGAAAAAACTAATTAACGAAAAGTAAAAAATGAAAAATAACCGAATGAAAAACATATAATCCTTGACCCATAACTGTGTCTATGATACATATTAAAACTAATGATACAATCTTGTAGAAGAAAACAATATATAATGACACATGATAAGCGTGCTTCTGAGATTCAAATAACATTTGCTAATTGAGTGAAAGCTAAATAAAACATTAGGTAGCTAAAAATAATAAATGAAAATTGACGAAAAAAAAAAGTACGACGTAATAGAGTAAAAAAATGTTTACAAAAAGACAGCATGCTTTGGCTAAACTAGCAATAAAAAAACCATAATACATCGAAGTGTTTGTAACCGTTTGGCAACTTAACAATTCAATACTGTAAAACCGAGGCTATCGCTCTAAACAGTTTGGCACTTTGAGGGGGGGGGGGGGCATGTGGGGGTATTACAATAAGCAGCGATTGCGATTGCCGCTTCTCCATTCACATCATAGCAAATTATCCAAATGTAACATAAGACAGATAGAACTACAAAGCCTGCGAAAAAGAAACTGAAGACTTGGTCGCATTCAAATCAAAGAAAATCGGGTTATTTTGCACTTGTGCGGCAGTGTTGATTGCCATATCAATTAGCGGCCGATAAAAACAATAAACTCGTTATCGTCAGTGTCACAACGGAGTTTCTAATCACGCTTACCAAGAGATCTTCCTATCGGTATAGATCAACGATAGAATTTTACAATTTGAAATAAAACGAGTGACCTCGAGTCGAGTGTAAGCTCTTATCAGTCGCCCCGTATCAGTTGTTATTAATCCACATAAAATAGAGAAAAAAAATATGCAGCCGAGCGTTCCCGTGAGGCGCAAAACGAAAAGGGGTGCGAGAACGCTCGAGTCCGAGTCGAACAGGCGGCTCACCTGCATCTCCGAGGCGCTGCTGGAGATGCGCTCGGACTCGACGCCACTGCGATGATGCTGGTGGTGCTGCGGCGTGTGGGCTTCGGGATGGCCGTGACCGTTGACGATGCCGTTCGGCTGAGTGGGCCCGGGGCCGCAACGTGGATGCCAGATGGCCGCGCCTTGCAGGAACATCTCCTCGCCGTCGCCGAAGGGGTCGCCGCATTTGGTGCAGCGCGCGCAGGTCGGGTGGAAGTGGTGGTTCTCGCCGGCCTGCAGCACCTTGCCGCTGATGTAGCGATTGCAGTACGCGCACTTGACGCCGAACTGCTTCTGGTAGTCTTTCTCGCAATAAGGCACCCCGTCTCTGTGGCAACGACGTGGAGCTTTCAATGTCGACGCGAGGGAGCTCTATCCGCCCGTACGAAAATCACTCACTTTCCCATGTACTCGCCGTGCAGCACGGTGTCGCAGGTGTGGCACTTGAAGCACCACACGTGCCACTGCCGATCGAGAGCGACGAGCGCCTGGCCCTCGCGCAGCTGCTGCCTGCAGCCGGCGCAGGCTCCGGGATCCTGGCTGGCGCCGCCTGAGCTTTGAGCTGCCACCGGCGTCGCGGCCTCTCTCACCGGTATGCTCACGCAGCGCTGGCACAACGCTTGGCCTGCAACATCGTTACAACTCGCGTCAATGGACGCCCGAGCGCGGTGCGCATTCGCCGATCGGTTATGGCCTTTCAGCTGCTAAGCTGCAGTATAAAGGACGCTCCGATTGCAATGCGCGTCGCTCAGATGCGCCGCAATGGGCACTGCGCTCAATGGATGAATAGCGTTGCGCGTACGAGCGAGTCATGTGCTAAAATGCATTTATTGAGAGTATTGAAAGATGTCGTCTTTAAATCTTATGCAGGCCTCGCGACAATTCAGATTGAAGTACTCCAGCTTGAGTCGTGATGCGAAGAAAAGCAACGATTCAACAACACACTTTTGTCGCGATACAAAATATGTTAAAGTAATGGATTACCTTGCACGAGCGTAACTTTAGTAGCCTGTCCGAGCAGTGGTTGTCTGCATCTTTGGCAGTGAAAACAATTTGGATGAAAGGCGTGCTTTTCCCCCGCGGTGACAACGTCACCCTCCACGTACTCTCCACACCCAGCGCACTTCGTACCCCATCTCTCTCGGTAGTCCTGCGAGAGAATAAGCACAAGCATCTCACTGGCTGTCCAATTAAACTTCGCTAACTACATTTCAAAGATCAAGTTAATATCGTTTGAGCTCGCCGAGCGTGTCATTGCAAATGGACTATTTTAAACATCCGCAATGATTTTGAAACGGCCGTCTGGACAGGAAATGTTCCAAATTCAAATTGCATGTGTAGTGAAATAATACAGGAGACAATACTGCCTTGGCGAGCTGTTTAACAGCTCCGTTTATACTATCACTAGCTTTTATGATCATCGTGTCGCATAAATCCTGTTCAAACGTCAGACACTTCGTACCAAATTGCCACTTATTTTTCAAACACCTTTACAACGATCGAAGCAAGCGGCTTGTTGCAGTTGCCCGAACGGTAAGCAAGGCTTCGAATCTTTCCATTCTCGTGTAAATGCAGATTCTAGAGCAAGCGTTATAAAGTTATCGAGGATAACAAACAATGTACGCGAGCCTAGTGAGAGATCAAAGCTGCTTCTAATCAGACCGAAAAAATAAGGATCAAAATAGATTGTTTGCACGAGCCCGAGCATGTCAAATGGTTTCTTTGAACCGATCAAGAATAGGATGAGAAAGAAAAACGTTCTTTCCCTAAAAGAGAACTGATCGACTGTCGCTCGGAGATGCGAACAAGCACTTGCTTCGAGGCTGAAATATTTAGAACTGTGGGAGGCATCCCCTCCGATTTAAAAGTTTCCCCCGCAGGTCGCACAGACCAGCCCTCGGTTAGTTATCATTACCTTGGTGCAGAAGTAGGAGCTGTCGCGAGCAAAGAAGCCCCCCTGGGCGAGGCTGGTGTTACACTGGGCGCACTTGAAGCAGCCAATGTGAAAGTACTTGTCCTGCACGCGCAGCACCTCGCCGCTGCATTTCTTTTTGCACGACTGGCAGAACGTCTTCCCTGCAAAACCAAAACCAACAAGCGATGAGAACCTTGTACCCAGGGAGTTCGCTCTCTCGTCCGGAGAGAAAAATCAAATTCTCCCACTCGCGACCGGACATTACATAGCCTCGGCCCGCGCTTCCGCAAATATCGGTTAGCGTGATAAGCGTCAGTTACAGCGCGCGAACAATGCGCAGCGATTAAAACTTGATGCCGTCGTGTATATCCGTGCCAGACACGCCGTAAACGCGTTTGCTGCAAGGGATGGGCAAAGCGCACACCGTGGAGCTGATTACAGCGAACCCTCGTGGCCTCGACGAAGGTGACAATAAGGTCGACCGACGCCCTGCTGCTCTGTCCCTTTTCATCTTCCCCCTCCTCCTCCTCCTCCTCATCCTCCTCGCGTCCTCGTCGTCTCGATTCGACGCTCAATGCCCACGAATAATGCATCTTTCGATTTGTCACTCGGGCTGCGTTTTACGCCTCCTCTAATATAAAGACTGGCCTGATTACATCGCCGACAGATGCGGGAAAAATAGTGATTTCTCCTGCATACAAATGTCTTATCGAGCGAAACGTTGTGTAAATGCAAATATCCGAACTTGAATGAAGTGCGCTCTTATAGCAGTTGCGTCATCTGCAATTACCACTGTTATCCTAGATTTCGAAACGAACGACGCTGGCGAACAATTAACGCACGCACAGTAGCTCGCGTCTCTATTGGTCGTTGGAGGGAAAGGAAAAGCACGCGAGAAGAAGAAGAAGAAACTGGTTCGCTCTTGTTTTCTCGTTTGAGATCAAGCACAACGGAGAAACAACGGAGAGGCCAGATGAAATGTCGAACGAGGTGGACGACGCGCGGAGCTCAACGTTCGCGCCTGCTTTGTGGGATAGCAAGTCTTCCTCTCGGCGCAAGATTATCCCATTGTCACTCCGAGTTGGCGATATTTTTTCTCTCTATCGCCTCGCTTGTTCAATCGTAGACTATTAGATCGTACGTGCGTGCCACGACGGTAGGAGAATCTCAGACAAGAGCGTATTAACTCGATTAACGGAGTTAGAGCTTTCGCAATTGATCGCGCGGCCAAGTGCGTTGATTTGGCGAATTGACGAGTGCGTGACGAGGATGGTACCGACGATTGGTTGCGACGCACAGAACGTCCACCACGCTGGCGCCGACTGGCTTCATTCTCATTGTTTGCGGTTGACCGCGACAATATTGAATGCTGCCAAGCCAAGTCGAAGACTCTCGATGTGGTTGTTATATCAGGGCGTTGCGGCTGCCATGCTCCAACGAACTGTGAATCGCGCTCGCAAGATAGGATTCAATTGTGGCAATCGTTATCCCGTGAAATTTCAATATTCTGAATTGATCGAGCCGAGTAAATTCGATCGAGATTAAATATTAGAGGCTCGCGACAATGCTCAGTATTTTTCCTCTACGAGCCAGTCAGTTAGGAAGTAAACGTGAAAATCAATGCTCTTTTTACCGTCGTACATTTTCTCATGGACGTACAGAAAACTGTATTATAGTGCGTGCGCGAGTCGCGTACACGGTGTTCCGTCGTAAATATCCCGACCACTTTTCCTTTTTGCGCGCACCGGAAAATTTTTCTTCCTGCTCTCTTCCTGCTCTCTTCTCTCTCTCTCTCTCTCTCTCTCTCTCTCTCTCTCTCTCTCTCTCTCTCTCTCTCTGCTGCTCTGCTCTTTTCTTGTATTCCTGGCGACCCGACTTACCGGCTCGCAACTTTTCTTATCCCACGCTTTTCTCGACGCACGCGTCCACGCACCAGTCGACAGCTTATGACGCTCCCTCCGATCGTCATCCCACGAGCCGCGCGAAAGCTATTCGCTTCCACGAATTTCGAATTGGCGATTCGCGGAATGCGCGAAAGAAGGAGTCCGACGCCATAGTTGAGAATGACTGCGCTTTCTTCGAGCGTAGACAAAAGGTGCCGCGCCCGCCTTTGTGAAAGCGACACATCTGACGAGGCGGTTTACCGAAAAACAATCGGACAGCGCACTTCAGAATAAAGCCGCGATTGAATTTGCGGCTGCGGGAATTCCTCGGATAATAAAACGCGCAGCGCGGAGTAGCTCGCTGATAAAAAGTCAATGATTACGTTCTTTTCTGAATTTCTTCTTTTGCAGATTGGTATACGGTAAACGAGCTGTTTCCGACCTTTTCTATTTAAATTGTGCTCGCATCGTCGTGTGTAATCGGATGTTTCGCTGTGGTTAAGTAAGAAAAAAGAAGAGGACTGGATTAAGGAGAACGCTGATGCAAGTGGCTAATTGCGGCTCGCGTAACTGTATTTTTCTCTTTTCTTTTGGTCGACTGATAAATGCATCCGAAGCAATTAAAGTTCCTTGCGTTTTTACGCGTAACAACAAGAGCAAGCTTCTACAAAAATGTAAATTCTTCAGCGGAATGGGCAATGAGCGAGTCTTAAACCCCTCTACTTTCACCTGCGCGTAGACCGCTTAATTATCATTTGACATTATCATTTAGCGTTGGATGCTTTCAGATAAAGCACACAGAATGTATTTCATTGCGGAATATTCTTATCGGGCGCATTTAGATTCGGATACATATTCATGATATACATTTTTTTTTTCCAAGAGAAAGATAAATTCAAAGCGAGACAGGCTTAATTGGAATTGCAGACGACTGAAACCAGGGCGTATAGTAGCAACCACATTCGGTACAGCGCGCTGATGTCACAGAATATTTTTAAGCGATTTCGCGCAGTCAACACGAAATATGACGAGATGGACGTGAAACAACGCCTGCTTGAGTTTCGAATGTACCATCTAATTAATGCGCCCTTTATTAGCTTGTGCTTGTACGCTGGGGAATGCGCTCGTTGTTGACGTTTTATATATCCTAAAACTAGTTTTTATCTTTTCGACGAACTTGGCCAGATTTTAATGTAATAAAGACTTTTTATAAACGCTTATTACACTGAATTTCACTTATTCAACTATACTCATTTTTTAGCTGAAGAGAAGACCTTCGTACACATGCTGGAATGTAAAGAATAATTTATAATCCATTTTATACAAGGCAGAATCGTGGTGAGAAGCGAGTGTAAAGAATCGTAAATCTATTGTTGACAGAATTCATACTGTTCCACAGTCGATTGATTTTATTATGAATACAAAAGCAACGAACATGTAGGTTCTCTCCTATCTTATTAAGTGATTGATTAGTTGATGCGAGAAAAGAGCGCGAAATTTTGAATTTTCATATACTTTGAAATAGTTGTATTATGTATCTAGAAGTATGAGATTTATAGTTCAAAAGAAAATTCAATTTATGAATAATGGACAATAATCTGCAAAAATGAAAATATGTCGTTAACGCATTGTTAAATAATAATAGTTAAAAAACAACAACAAAGATAGTTTTGCTAACTTTAAGAGAATGACGGGGATTAACCTAAACTACAACTTCGTAGGATTGATTACACTTGGTTAATTTCAAGCTTACATGGAATATCATATTTTTTTATTATTTTTCAAGTTAGTGCTCAGGTGACTGATTTCAATAATCCAACAAACCTGAACATTTAACAGGTGTTGTTGACAACGAAATCACGAATTGGTTACGTTTGCTCAATAATTCATTTTTGACATTGAGGAAGGTCATCTATCCTTCATTATGATTTAAAGGAGCGCGGAGATGAGACGGCGACATTTTAAGCAAACTGTAAATTTTTTTTTTTTATCTCCCAGAACGTAACGTTGCTCCATTGTTAATTTAAGAGACGTGATTTAATCCAGTACGAAAGGTTTTATCGCTAGGTAACATGGTAAAAGTAAATTTATCTCTACTCTATGTTAATTTACTTTCAACTTTCGTTTGAAAAAAGATAAAGGCTTCGTAATCAATCACACGAAAATGTAGGTCTAGTCGCTAAAATATTTTTAAAACGATTAATGATTAAAACTCTTTTACGAGCTAAATTCATAATACAACGCGTTGCGTGCGAGGAAAATATCATGAGTTGGTTTTTATTGGCGCATTTTTGCATTGATTGAGCGTCAAGTTTTTTAATTAATCAGGGAGATACGTTTTGCTGAAACGTCTCAATTCCGATAAATAACTCTCGTGATCTACACGACACAACTAAGAAATAATTCCCATCTAATTAAGATATTTATCAAAAATAGTCTTGATTCACACGTTCATGATCGATAAGGATATGTATATTTATCGTAGATGAAAAGCTACTACAAATTGTAATTTCGACTTTCGTACACGGCAACTTGCAAGTTACGAGAGCATGACGTGTGACGTCAGCTCCACGCCTATACTGTACACTGCAAGGGGGGCAACGACGTTGGACTTTTACACACTCTAATGAGCCCAAATAAACCTTGCTCGCTCGGCTGATCTCGCATTTTTTCTCTTTCGCATTTTCTCAGAGAGTTCAACTTCGTTATCCTCGGTGCTTATGTCACCAAAATTATCGGTTTTATATATTCAATATCTTTATTCCGCAACCATTCTTGTTGAATAATTGGGGGAATTAGAAGACGTTCAGTTCATTAAGAAGTAGGCGATAATAAAGCCAAAATTTTATCGACCTGATGAACTACATAAGAGCTGTGATCTATTTGCTTTCCTCACTATTTTTATATTCGCAAAGAAAATTTTTATCTTTTTTAAAATTATTTGCAATTTATTCAGTACTTTAGCGGATTATAAAATCATCAGACTAACAATCGACTCACTAAAAAATTCGTTAAATTTTCGTGCACGCTCGTAATACGCTCTGAGATATATATGTTAATGCGATCCATAAAGTGGACTAAATAGGATGTCGTCGCTCTGCCTCTCCCTCTCCCTCTCCCTCTCTCTCTCTTTCTCTGTCAACTCACATAACTCGCATATGTGCGAGGTCAAAAGCGTTCGCGACCCTAGATCAGCAGCTGTACGCCGCATCATCACCCTTTCTCATGATTCTCCGTTCGATCAACATGCATGCCACGTTTTCATATTTTTAACATTTTAAATTCAGTGAGATTCTGACTGTACTTATATATTTGTGTACAGTGGCGCTTATACCGATTCTTTACTTGAGGTACGCTCTCTAAAAAGAGTTTCATATGTATATAAGGATAAAAAAAATGATAAGTTATCTGCATAGTTACGTGTTCCATTAAGAGCCCGTCATGTTACATGTTTCAAGTATATTGTACACTGTATCACCCGATTTTTCAAGTGCTTTTAAGTGGAAAGATTTTTTTTTAATTCCACACATTATTTCAGTAGGCACGCACATTGCCGGAAAACTATTTTGGATGATGGTGATTCATAAATGAATCCACAGCGATTGGCAAATCCAAACGGTTTCGATATCAGTTGTCGAAAAAAAAATGTCATCATTATCGCACACTTCTCTCGCTTGCATTCCGCAAATAGAGTGTGCTATCAATTCGCCGATAAAACTTGGAGTGAAAATCAATTGTAAAGTGGTATTTACACAGAAAAACGTTGGTTTTTCTCTCGTTTGGCCGCCTGGACAATTTTACACTCTTTGGCAACGACAACAAACACTTGTTATCGTGGAGGCGCAGTAGATGCAAACGTTATATCACTATAATGTTGGAACGTTACGGCATAATCGTTCGCTTCAGCTATTGAGTATTAATTATTTGCAACGAGTGCGTAACGAAGTATACATTTACAAGACTACGAGCAGAAGTTATTGGCAATCGGCATGAATAAGTCAGCGATGAAAATGGAAGATCGAAGAGATCGGTCGGCAGGGAAGTATACGTTTACAAGACTACGATGGAAAGTTATTGGCAATCGACACGAATAAGTCAGCGATGAGAATGGAAGATGAAAGAGATCGGTTGGCAGAGAGAAGAACGCGAGCTATGCCAAAGACACCGGTACGAAGTCGAAAGGGCGGGCGCGCTCTCGTTCTCGCGTCGCGCACGCGGAAGTGCATCGCGGAGAGAGCAGATCGAGTGAAAGCGAAAACGTAACGTGCGTCGGGCGCGATGCTCATTGTGCGTGCCTCCGTTTCTCGCCGATCTACCAGTTCGCACCCGGCGCGCAGATTCTCCCTCCTCGAGATTACTCAACGCAAGAGGCGTCCGCGACGACGGGCTTCCTTTTTACCTGTTCCACGCGGACTTTTGCATATAATCGAATCGGAATTGCATTGCCGGCTATAAATAAAACTTGATTTACGTTGGCAAGCTCGCTCGCAGTTGAAAACAATTCCCCGAACGTATCCGCTTGTATTGAATGTCGTTTGTATTTATTAGCGGGAACGGCGTTAGAATGCGTTTGATGAAACGAGCAATGCTCGCTGGCTAAATAAGTTTCGGTTGATCGCGTCAAGCTCCTCGTTCCCGATATATTTTTAGAGAAATGCGAAAGCCAATCGTGAGTCACTCGCCGCAATCACGGGCCGTACGAATAACGAAAGAATACGCGGCAAGCTGACGATATGAAAGCAGAGGAAAAATATTTAACGATGAGCAGGCGTACAAAATGCCGTCAAATTTTTATCCATTATAATAATAAAGTTTCTTATTGGAATCGATAAAAAGCCCGATGCACGGTCGCAAGTCATAGAGCTTACGCTCGGCGGAGAAATCCAATTATCGGAATGGGCAAGTGTAAAACTTTGCACCGAGTGCATTCTCGACGAGCCCGCTGCGGATAAAAAGGAAAGCCAGTCGACGCGAGCAAAGGAGATCGCTTGGGCAAGCCGAGCGATGCAGACTTGGCGGTGTGCGTTCTATTGGGCGGCGCACGTGTGCGCGTGCGATTCGGCTAATTGAAACGGGTTTCGCAGCCTCTTATTTCACTCAGCCAAAGACCAGCGGCAGCTAACTCCGTTATGCGTCTCTGCTCTTCCAATTGGCTTCAATATCATTCGATGTACGATGGAATGCGTGCGTCGTCCGAAACACTCGCTCTTTTTCGGCTGTTTCCGAGTCGTTGCGTGGCATGCAAACATTACCTACATTTCCGCCGCTCTCTCAAGCATTAGAAAGCTCGGGTGTCGACTGGCAGAAATTACCGTTTTCAAACTTTCGACGGGAGCTTCTTGCGCAGCTGATAGAACTCGCGAAAAAATGCACCTTGCCGTTCAATCAAACGTGCAAACGTGTTTCATCGGCGGCGACAATCTTCGAAACAAAACAAAAAAAAAAAAATTACGCCGCGGTATATTTAGAAAGATTGGGTTTCGCACGTTTAGCACTGCTTATGCGCACTACATACATTGTTTTATTTGCACGCATACCAAGGTGTCGAGTTTTAATTATGCACACACGGAGAAGCAGTAGCTCTCTTCTTACACACGGACTCGTGCTCATGGCGGCACGTACGCACTGCTATCGCTTTACTACGTTTTGCAAAACCGCACTTACAATGTCAAAGTTTACCTTTTATTGCGCCTTATCGTTGACAATTGCATGATCGTTATTCTGAGAAAGTTGAGGCACTAATCTACTTTCAATGAACAATTTTCAATTGCAAGCGCATTTTCACTTTGTTATATCTCCTTCGCTATCTTTTTTAGATTCTTTCGATAACGATGCCCATGTCAAAAAAATAATCGAGCAAGAATTTTAGTCTACCCCGCATTTTCACATCATCCAGAAGATGAACCCCGATAAAGTTTCTCTACATTTCAGAAGAAAAAAAAAAGACGAGCAAAACAAACGTTAAGAGCGTCAGCGTGCAGATTAAATCCAGCGGAGACAGAAGAGAATGTACACGCGTAAATCCGACGCAGCATCCGTGAAGTCATCGTCTCCACCGAGAAATAATATTTTTATAAAAACGGCAATGAGGCGAGAGCCCGGGAGCCGAAATAAAAGAAAAGCACACGAGCGACTGAATAACGGACGCTGAGAAATTCGTCCTAAAAGTTCTTAAAAGTCTCTCCGGATAGGCAGTCGCTGTACGAAAAGAGTTGTCGAAGTTCGCGCGGCTTTTCCAACAGCTGCCGATCAAAGAGAAGAACGACAGTCTCAAGAAGGACGCTTCTTTTTGCTTTTTGAAAGATTGAGGATAGGGCAGGCGACTTTACAGGAGAAGGCTCTTTTGTCTGTTGACGTCCTCGCCAAATTTAAACGATTTACTTTTCATTCGACGGTAGTTAAACGAAGCGTCGCATTTTGCGCTGACAATCATTAAAAAAAAAAGTTTGTTAAAGACAGTGACGAGTCGTGTTGGTCATCGTTACGATTTATGACAAATGGCCACTTCTCTCCGCCAATAGAATTTACAATTGATTAATATTTAAGACGCTGATAGAATCAATTGGACCGCTGCTGCTGCTACTGGCGCGAGATCAAGTATTTAATTCGATCGAGCATTAAAAAACTGAAGTCGAAAAATGCGCGCGTTCCAAGAAGACAGACACATGCGCGCATTATAGGTAGTTAAGATTTATGACAGCCGGCAATTCGGTAACACAATCACGTACGGAGAACGGGTTAACTCGATCGTCTGAAGTTCGTATAACGTGTAGCTTTCTAAAAGCATTAGCCTGCGTGCGACACGCACAGCCAGATTCGTTTTTATATCTTAGCCGAAGTTAGGAATTACGGCAATATATCTCACCCTTCTTAAGGGGTTTTGGCGGCTCCTTGGGCTTGTCGGCGACGACTGTAGGTTGCTGCTCGCTCTTGTATCCATTCTTCTCACTGGCGATGAGATTCTCGCTTTGCCTCTTGGACTTCATCATGTATTATGTATTAGCCGCAAGGAAGGCAGGTAGAATAGACACCTCGTACACGCGCACACTCACAGTCACGGCGGCGGCGGCGGCGGCGGCGGCGGTGGCGACGGCGGCGCGATCGATTGCGTAAGGTTTTCAGGTCGCCACTGACGCCCACTGCGCGATCGTGCGACACATACGTGACTGTCACTGTTGCCCTTTGAGCTTCTCGGTTGGTCGGTCGTCGCCAACTGGACTTCCTCGCTTGTGTGGATTGTGCCGAACTTTACTTTCGGGGACGTCTGTCAGCGTCCAAAAATGTTGCGCGAAGAGATAAAGCCACGAGCGTGACGTTGTCAATTAGCCGGATAGCCAATCGAGCACGTTATCTTTATCGACGTTGCGATCTACCTGTTCGCACATCGTTTCCCTGGTAGGAAACTTTCGAAAAGCTACTCAAACAATCCTCACAAAAGAAAAAGCTCAAACTGTCGAAAAGTCGCGATGCGCGATCATAGCTTCGACAATATCGAAAGCTCACGCGAACGGTGTTACAAGCGTAAGCGAGACTCGCCGGCGACGATAGCAAGTGACGAGCGTCGACTGGTGTGTGTCTCGCGCGTCGGCCGGAGAATTCCCCCTACCCCACAACCTCCCGCTGAGCCACTGCCGCCGTCGCTGTCGCCGTCGCTGTCGCCGTCGCTGCCGCCGCCGCCGCCGCTAGAGTTGACTGACGTCACTTTATTCGCGACACACTCCTCGCAAAAGTTTCGCATGACACTCCGTATTGCGTTTACACTTATTGATTCTTCCTTTGCTCCTCGCACGTGGACGGGGGGAGAAAGAGTGGTCATCGATGATCAGCTGATCGTGCTTCGCATGTGCCAACTGCTATCGTAAACAGAGAACTGGTTCCCGACGTGAACCCACCAGTATTTCGTCGCGCTTCAAACGTAACGTCATTCTAGGCCTTCGCGCGTCACGAGCGTTTCACGGCATAGCACAATTTCGATTGCTCGAAATCCCGATTACTCAAACAGCCAGTCTCTCGGAGAACTGGAATTCTTCGCTCGCTCTTTCTGTCAATGACCACACCGGAGTGTATAATTTAGTACAAAAACTTCGATAGCATGCGGTTTCTAAAGTAAAGGTCTCCTCGAAAATAGATCGAGTTATTTCAGGCATTCCAGTTTTCGAAATATTCTTATAACTTCAGCCTCGCTAAGAATAACCTGCCAACGAACGAGAGGCAAAGAAATAAAAAAGCTACGTTTCATTGCCATTCCGGAAAGGCGCCACGCGGAATCGCATTTTAGGTAGAACCAGTTGCATGGGCTCTTCTTCACATTGCTCAAGGCGAGGCTCCATTTGAACGAGTGCTTCTTAAATATAGCCGGCTGCTGCCGACTTCAGTGGGAAACTTTGAAAAAACAGTACCGTTGTAGGTCTTCCGGTAATTGAACGTCCAAGTCCGTGAAAATATGCCCGATTGTATGTGTGTGTGTGTGTGTGTGTGTCGCACGCTGTTCTTCGTATTCTCGCACGACCACATTGTCCTCCTCAAGATTACTGAGATTTTCATGTAATTACGTTGTGATTCGTGTCATTTTATATCTAGCCGTGGATGTGCATTCTTTTTCGTACTATCAGTCATAGAACGTGCCAAGCTTGTTATTATCTCCCTCGTCAACGACTCTGTCATTTCTTAGATGCGAAAGTAGTCAACCAAACGCTATCAGAATGGAATGACGCTTTTTTTCAAACCTAAACTGCTGTACTTATTGCTCGTCATGTGCAAAGTGTCCGATGTCCCAGACAGTTGTTTATTATTAATTTTAGCTCTTCGCGTGTGCTCGTGCACAACATTCGTAATGTCCTCGACCCACTAAAACAACGCATTTAAAAACGAGCGCGTACGCGCATAAGTAGAAGACGCACTCGCGCTAACGATCTTCTCGCGCGAGCGAAAGCTAAGCTCGCTTTACACATACAGTGACAGGAGGAAGAAGAAGACCTCGCGTTCGACGAACAAACTGCATTCGCAGTATGGATGGCCACACTCTGCGATTATAGTTTGGTCGGTGTTGACGTGTGACGTCAGCTCACGTACACGAGCGGCAACGTTTGTTTTTTTTCACTTCGCGTAACAACCGTCAGCCTTGATCGCCATTGTTTGTCACGATGAGTACACACTCCGCGATGTATACTGGACCTTTAAATAAAGGCGTGTGTCGTTCTGCTGATCGCAGAAGTGCGATAACGTTTGCTTTTCGAAACTTTCACATTTGCGAAGCGACTTTTGTTTCCTTCAGCTCCTCTGAAAATTTACGTACTCTATTGGATTTCAAATGTTATTCTGGATTGTTGTTCATGCAAACATCAATGCCACTATAAATATCAATCTTCTTGATTGGTAGTGTTTCGCAAGTAAAAAAGAAAAAGTAGCAAAACCACTTTAACGGCCAAGTGATTGTGCAAAAATACGTTTTTCTCTACCTCTCGTGTCGCCAGCATTAGAAGGCTATTTGTTTAAAAACTGCTTTTCATTTAGAAGAAAAAAGTTTCTGAATAATAAAGAGTCTCACCAAGTAAACCAATGACGTAGTCACAGTAACCGGAATGCAAACCGATGGATTCTGAAACGACGGCACTCGAATGCACGCTATAATGGATTAGCATGCGCAGAAATCGCAGTGAACTTTCTGATTTTCTCCGCGCGCCGATGAGTCCTTATTGCAAGGGAATTGAAAACGGTGAACCGAGTCAATTTCTAAATAGTTGAATGAAAATCATCGAAGAGTGTAATTTTGCGAGTTCACGCTCGCGCAGAGCAATTTCGCCCCTAAAGCGACGCAAAGGTCATCACTCGCTTGGCTCGAGGCACGTGCAGTGACCGTGCTGAGCGAAAGACGTAATCGATAGACTGACGTTTTCGCCCCAGTTGGCTCCACGTGCGCAAGGCAGATATTCAGGTACGAGACGCCGGATAGGCTCGTCTCCGTAGATCAGAGAGCGCGCGCGCGCGCGGCTTTGACCTTTTCAGCTTTGCATTGAAAAGAAAAAGAGACTCTCTTGCGTAAGGCGGCTCTTTCATCGCCGCTGTTGAATATACACTGTCAAGGGGACGCGAGCTCTTCATTGATTGTCCATCTTTTTTAAATCTCCATGAAGTAGGGATACACCTTCGTTTCCATTGACCAATTGAAATTTCAAATCCAAATTGAACGCTCAAATAAATCTAAAAATAAGCGTGACGCTTGCTTCAATGGCATTTTTTGTCTTTAACGGAACATACTTGAGCGTCTGCAAAGAACGATTCTCAAGTCTTGTTTTTTTACTCGCAACGTGTGTTTGATTCTAATTTTTTTTTTCTTAGACTCGAGGCCGTAGCTTCGTTTCTTTTCTTTCTTATTATTTTTTAAATGCGGAGTACGAAAAAATGCATGAAATGGCAATTGAACGATCCATTCCGTGCATTGATTTTTACATCCTTCCTTTTTAACGGCTGTTCGGAGCAACGTTGCGCGTATGCGCGCAAGAAGTGAAAGCGGCTTGGAAAAGCCACGATGAGCATAGCGACATCAATCGGTAGTCCACGTGCTGTGGGCAGCGAGCTTGGAAATCAATTTGCATGTGAAGCCAGCCGCACGACGGTTACTGTTCTCTCTCGCGTGGGCGGATATGCGAAACGTAGCTCCGATCGACGAGGCTCTTCCGCAGCGAGCGTTACGTAATCTTTTACAATCCCATCGGCGCTCGCTCGCGCGCCTGTGTTTATATCTCGCCGTCGCATGCGCGTGAAATGAAAGAGGAGACGCCCGTGCACCTGATGTGCTACTTTTCCGCGCTTGACATATTCTTTTCTTCAAAACGGAATCGAGCCGACGTCCGCGCCCTCGATGTGTCTGTTAAACAGACCGGCCTCCCGCGGTATTTCTCTTTTGTCCGAGGAAAGCACGGACGCGAACTCTCGCTAGCAAATTGCTGAGCGGTTCCTAACCTCTTCAGTTCCAGCAGTGGCACGAAACAAATTGGTCCATTATCCAATCAATCGAGCCATCGAGGAAGCACTCTTTTTAGATTCCACGACGTGATGCTTTCACGAGCCCGAGCGGATCATTCGTATACGCATTATCATCAAGTGTTCATTGCAAACTTGACGTTCAAACTGCTGCGAGTACTACGATTGATTCAAGTGCCGAATGACTTTTTCACTTGTGACAGGCAATATAGTTCAGCTGTGAACGTGTGGGTTTTATCGCGTTACTTGGCTTCGTCCAATTTACCTTGTAACACATTCGAATTTAAATACGTTTGGATTCTCAGAATTAATTGTTGTACTATTTTTCGCCTCGGTGACAAATCGTACAACAATGCGATATCAGTGTTATCGGAATATCAATTAAAAAAGGCAACAAAGACTGCCAATAAGGCGAAGGAAAATAAAATCGATAATACAAGCTTGTAGGAAAGAAAATTTCAACTCAGAGCAGCGTTACAGCAACTATGCTGCGGCTGCTGCGACGGGGCCAATGGAGCTTAAATGGTCCCCTCGCTCCTGTACTCACCGGTAGATTATAACGCACGCAGAGAGGGGGGAGGGGCTGTGCTATACCCGCGCAAATCTGCTGTCGCTGTGTACGTGCAGCAGTGTGCGTTTCATTTCGCTCTGCACTCGAAAAATCAATACTTAATCGAAAGTTGACGACATGCCATTTAGACTAGCCAATGTTTTTTTTTTTTTCGAAATAAAACGATTTTTCCCCAAATGAGAGGGGCGATTTAACCATGACAAGATCCATTTGTATTCAAAGCTGTTATTTGTCTCTCCTCGAGTATGTTCTAAATTTAAAGTGCCTTATCGGTTGTTTCACTTTCGAGCAATCAGGTGCATATGGCAGAGTGCTTGAGGCGTCCCGCGGATCGAGAGGCTCCGACACCAATGAGCCGCGTATTATAGAGCCAAAACAAGATATCTATGAACGTTAGGATATTACTGTTTAGCAATCCTCGTGACAAACGATCGCCCAAGCTATTTCTGAAGCAGTTTCGTGGAACGATAACTCGGTGAATATCCGTTGCAATAACTTATTACTATAAAACATTCTACTGTCATACATTGTCACAGCGTTATTTGAAAATTTTATTACAACTTCTTTGCACATAGACGTTTGTTTGACAGTCACACAATTCGATATAATTGTTACCACTACTGTACTCACGCATTTTGCATTGTACTAAACAATATTTGAGCCCGACACCAAGTTCAACTCTCCTGAAATAAAAGGCAAAAAAAACGAAAACATTGAATTTTCCAGCCATAAAAAACAATAAACAAGAAAGCCGAGATAGAAAGAATGACAGATTCAGATTAGATTTTCATATTCACTTCGTAGATATATGTTTCCGGGAGAGAGAGAAATAATAAGTCATTCCTCTCGCGTAGGCTCGGAGAGCAAATTGATTTTCTCTCCCTCTCTCTCTCTCTCGCATCATTTTCCTTCTGTAACTCGTCGCCGTTTCCGTTCCATTAACGTATAGGTATACCACTGCCTTGCTTGCCGTATTCCTGGGCAATATTATTGACGTGCCGACGTGCTTCGCAGCTTATATAGCAAACGATATAACACGGTATGAACG